TCTCAGGGTGTTTTATCTAAAGGCTGCTCTAGTCCAGTCCAATTGTTTCCAAAATGTTCTCATTCAGTCTCCTACAAGCCAATAAGTCACTCATAAAAAACAAGGAGGCCTTGAGCTGCTGAGGATTTCTTATTGATCCATTAAGCTGCACATGTACACAAAGTGAAATAAACAAGGTTGTTTTATTGGTAACAGGTTTTATTTAAGCTTTGCTGAAACATAGTACAAATTAAAAACTAAAGCCTCTAACTTACCCTGCTCAATTTTGTTTTGCACAGGAAACAAACAAGTCATTAATTTAGTTTGGGAAAAGCATCGTAAAATAGTGCAAATATAAAAAGATGGATTTTAGTAAGCTTTACACTACAAGCAGGGATCATGTATTGTCATACATATCTCACTTTTCTTGGATGAAAATATATTTAGGAGCAAAACAAACGTAGGGTGCTTAGAGGCCTTAGTAACAAATTGCCCTTTCTGGAAGAGCATAAGATGTTCATGCTACCCACACAATATTTCAGCCATCTTCTAGCATGTTCTCAGATAGATACACAGACACTGCAAGGACTCCTGCTTGCACAGCACCTTAGCTCTCATGGCATTTTATTAAGTATTATCAGAGAGAAAGATCATCACCAATCATTTCTAAGTGATCTGAATACAACAATAAATTGAAAAGAAGAAGCTGCCATCTTGAAAGTTGATTGACAGTTTGGGACATGGAATGTAAGGGGGAGAGAATCATTTTCAAAGCATATGTGGTTTAAAAACATACAACTTAGCATGAGTAACATTGGCCGCTTATTTTTCAGCAACAGAACCTCAGACAACTGTTCTGCTCTCGTACATTCAGATATGTTCCCTGGCCAACACGTTCCACCCTGGCTTCCTAAAGGGAAGAATGATATAAATAGCCAGAGTCACAGAAATATCAAGTGTCTAAGTGATACTCAGGACAACAAGATATCCAGGTGTTTGTTCAGCAGCTCTGAAAAATCAGAGCATTGATTTAAAGTGCCTAATTCTGGCTTTAGGTGGCTAGCTTTCTGGGGCGCGTATCAGCTTCCCGTCTGCAAAATGCTGACTTCCTTTGTAAAGCGCATTTGAGATCTACAGATCAGAAGAGCTATATAAGTGCTAGGTATGTTAATGAGATACAGTAAAAGCTTTGGTATCCAGCATGTTGGGGAAATGGGGGCGGGAGAGGGAGCTGCCAGTTAGTCAAATATTCTGGCTAATGAGTCTGGAGTGTGGTTGGGGGGGGGGGGGGGGGGGGAGAGGCAGGGGATGGGGTGTGGGAGAGGGTACAGGCTCCAGGCTGGAGGGGGCTCCAGAGTGGATCCAGAAATTAGTTCATCATGCATAATGGGGATTTGGGTTGGGTATGGGCAGGGGTGAGAGTTCTGCATGGGAATATGGGCTCTGGGGTTGGGCCAGGAATGAGAGGTTTGGCATGTAGGGCAGGGCTCCAGGCTGAGGCTGACAGGTTCAGAGTACAGGAAGGGGTACAAGGTTCAAACTCGGGGAAGGAGTTTGGATGTGGGAAGGGATTGGGTGTTGGGGGACAGAAGGGCTTTTGGGTTGCTGGATCCAGATGACGCTCACCTAAGGGGACTCCCTACAAGCAGGATAGGTCTCTGCTTCTGGGGAGTCATGTGGAGCCAGGCAGGTAGCCTGCCAGCCGTGTGCCAAAAACACCATAAACTAGACTTTCAATGACGATCAGAAATGCCAGTTTATAGAGCTTTCTGGTTGGTACAGGGCTGGATAACACCACTTGTTCTGTACTTTGGGTTCTGTCTCTGCAACCAACGCATAAGACCAAACTTCCCATTGGAAAAAGGCAATAAAACGGCAGCTACCATTGAATTAGGGCTTGTCTATATAGAAAGGCTGTCTCACTCTAGCTACACTACCGTATAGTAATACGACCCTCCTAGTGTGGGACACAGTTACATGGGTGTAAGCATCTATGGGAAGGGGAATAAGTTAGCTTGACAACAGTATACCTGCATTCGGCCTAGGCAGCGCTCCAGTATAACTATTCCAGGGGGAAAACAATCATGCCCTTAAGCCAGTGGTGCTCAAATTGTGGTGGTCCATGATCATCTTGCAGGTGGGTTACAGGCTTGGGACTCACTCCTGCCTTCAGCAGGCAGCCTGCACTGGGACTCCAGTCCCCCCCTCCCCACCCTGGTATGAGGCTGGCGAGCCTCGTAGAGGAAGAAAGTGGTAGGTGGAGGGGGGGATAGCAGCAGAGGAAACTGCTCACCTGAAAGCTTTCTCTGCTGTTCCCTTTGGTTTGACCCACTCCTGCACCCAACCTCCTGTCCAGACCCCCCCCCCCCCCCCCTCACCCCCCTAGCCAGACCCACCCCCACACACCTTCAGCCCACTCTTGCACCCAACTTCCCACCTAGACTGCCCGCCTTCAGCCTGCTACTGCACCTTACCTCCCAACCAGACCCCCACCCTCAGCCCATTTCTGCACCTAACATGCCAACTAGACCCCTCCACTCTCAGCCGGCTCCTGTGCCTCACCTCCCAGCCAGACCCCGTACCTCTTGCACCTATTTTGTCATCATGGGCAGTTGGCTGGTGGTCTGTGGAAAGGTCTGTGTTGAGCGGGCTGAGCCAAAAATTTGAGAACCACTGCATTAAGCAAAATAGTTATACAAGGACAAAAAAGAAGCCGATATATCTGAAATACTAGTCTTATAGTTTAAATCTCCAAACCACCTAACATTCATTGCAGCTTTCCTTTGACCCGGGGGGAGACTGATAAACCACAAAACAGAGGTATTTATCTCAAGCTTTGTATATATTACACATCTCAATAGAGTTTCAGTAAGAGTGTTGTTATCCTCACTTGACTCAATAAATTGTACTTATAAGTTTTTCTGATCAACATTGTAACACAATGGGTCTGAGCTATTCAAATAGAACATTTAACAAAATAGAGGTGAATGGGAAAACAAAATTCACAGTATCCATAAGACATTCTTGCAGGTCTCCGCCAAAGTATCTCCTTTGCTGAGAGCACTAATGTCCAAAGAAAGAGAAGGCAGCTAGCCGATAATCAAGAGCTCCCAATTCTGCACTACTGTGAGGGAACCCTTTTAAATCTCCTCTGGCCCAAAGGATGGCTAAGGTGCGTCAGCTTCCTTTTAATGACACTTCAGCAAGGAAGCAACAACTGTGCTTCAGATATAGGGCCAGAACCCCGAATGGTGTTAGTCAGCGTGACTCCTCTAACGTTTCACTAGAGCTATGCTGATTTATATCATCGGGTGATCTGGCCTGTGGTTGCAAAATAATATTGTGAAACTGCAGTTTGGTGCACTGCAACCGAATTTGCGACTTAAAAACAAAAACACATCCCATTTGTACACGTACAGCAAATACAAACCGACACAATAATTGTCACACAGTAAAATAACATCAAGTCAATATACCAGAAGAATAACAACTAGTTTGGCGTGCTTTTGGCAGTGATAGCTCTGATTTCACACACCCCCTCCAATGTCCCTACAGAGAAACAATAAACTGACCATGGTTTTGGTGCTACTAGGTTTTGTGAGCTTCCCACTGAAGATGGAGAAGCACATCTGGCGTGTTAGGGAGGGGTGCAGCACATATAAAGTCTGGTTTTTCACATGAGAGTGAAAAAAGGAAGGGAAAAAATAGCTCTGAGAACCACCTGAAAGGGTATCAAGTATTTAGCGGCATGAAAGGAAGGGTTCCCAGATCTGCTTAGTTTCACTCACTTCTAGCTACTGATTAACTGCTAGTCAGCTAGCACATCCTGTGCTGCTCAGTCGACACCAAGAAGCAGAGCAACAAATCAATAGGGACAGGATTAATACCATGGAGGAGAAATCCTTTCCCCTCTCCTCCTCCGAAGGCCAAAATTAAGTCAGGAGAGCTACTGCCCTCTTTGCATACTACACAGCTAAAGAGGTACTGACCAGTCACTGCTGCGTAGTCTCTTCCCTTCCCATCTCAACATTTGGCGATTAGAGTTGCTTTGCTAAAAACTGCTCTAAGGAACCTTGTGGGGGGCCCGCCCCTGCTTTGCTCTTGACAAGAGAGATGAAGGGAGTTTGACTACGATAAAAATACTAGATCAAAAAGGAATGTAGCTAGAGAAGGAAGTACAGTTCTGTGACTACAGAAAGCCCCCTGCAGCTCATCAGGCGCAACTGAACTGTACACCCTCAGGAACTCTGGGCAATGAGGCTATGAAGTACAGCACAAGCGGCAATGACTGGCAGTGATGGCTAAGGAGGGGGAGGCCAAATCTTCCTAAAAATCATATGCTAGGGTCAGGCCAGGCTAGGCAGCCCAAGTAATAAGAATCCCTACTCAACCTTCGCTGGATAAGAGGCTTTACAGCAGAAGGGTGATATGTGGATCTTCATAGCTAGAGGGAAAACACCTGCTAGATCAAAGAAACCACCTCTTTGGAGAAGAGCAGAGTCTTCCCAGCAGAAGACAACCCCGCAATGTGTACTGTAAGAACAAAGAGCTACGGCTTCCCAGTGTACTGAAACACTACACTGTATACATTTCTTGGCATTTCAAACAGAGAAATGAGTCTATCCTAGAGCTATTTTAAATGGGCCTGAACAACACATTGTTGAGAACAATCCTGCAGTAGCCAAGGAGCAGTGGGCTAACTGGGGCCTAACAAGTGTTTCCCGTCACCCTTCTTCTACCTTTTTATTTATTTAAAATAAGTAGGAAACAAAGGTGCTACAAGGAGGGTGTGTGTGTTGTGTTAAAGAGTGATTATACATAAACTCTTCTACATAGTGAGGTATATTGATGGCTCTAGTTCTGCAAGAGAAGGGAAACTGAAGCACAGGGATGGGCAATAATTTTTTGCCAGGGGCTACTTTGGAAATTTCTGAAGTGGCCCTGGGCCGCATAGGAAGGGGCGGGGCATCAAGCAGAAGAGGCGGGGCCAAGATATTTCCGGGTTCCCCACCCCAGGGGGGGGGGAGAAGAAAGATACTTCTGGGTTCCCTACCCCCGGACAATGATTGGTCTGGAGATGAGGGAATGCCTTTGCCTCCCTCCCCTCCCCCCAACGTTCCCTCTAGGTGCCCATGCCCCTGGCGTGGGAGGAGACTTCCTGCGCTCTCCTGCCCCTAGCCTATTAAGGCCTGGGGGCAGGGGAGCGTGCGAAGCCCTTGGCTCTGCCCCTGCCCTGCGAGCAGTGCGTGGCGCTTCAAAGCACCACGTGCTCCTGGCAGGGTGGGAAGAAGCTCTGCGCGCTCCACCAACCCCAGGCCATACAATTAAAGGTGACTGAGCGGCAGGGCCTCTGCGGGCCAGATCCACCTGCTTGGCGGGCCGGATCCTGCCCACAAAGGCCCTTTTGCCCACCCCTGTCATAGCAGGTCAGGAGAGCACAAAGGCCTATATATCTGCTTTACAGCTGACTGATGATCATAGATCCACAGGACTGAGGATAGGTACCCCACTGCCTTCTCCACATGGGCAAACCCTGACCAACATCCACAAGGGACAATGTGGGATGCTCTCCTTGAGGGAATCTTCACTGATTTCCAACCTTCTTGCAGATGGGGGTTGAGAAATATCTAGGTATGTGCCACATTGTGCTCTTTCATAAAGAACTGAATGACAGTTTAAAAGTATAAAATGCTAGCTCAGTTCTAACTGCTGATGCACCCTTTATTGCACTGTACAGGTAAGAATGTCAAGGAAGGATTCTGAGAAGAGTTAAAACTTAAAAGAAACTAAATCAAACTGAAGAGGTTCCAAATGTGACCACGCAACAGAGTGCTTTCGCTTAAACCAGCTGTCAGGTGGGGCACAAAGGGGAAGGCAGTATTTTTCAAAATTGCACATTAGTCATGAGTAACTCTCGCCAGCACCGTAAAATGGAGACTTTGTCAAATGATGAGCCAGATTAAAAAGGTAGATATGCTGTTAAAACAGCTGTGGTTGTGAGGAGCTAATTATGTACATCAGAAGCTCTTATATACATGTCTAACTGCTGATTGAGAGCAGCCGAGGAACTGGCCTCCAACACTAAACTACAGGGATCAATCAATTAGAGCCATCCAATAAGAAAGCAAGAGACGACACCTTGCTCTTGCCTGGCTGCTAAATCATACAGGGTGGTTTATGTATAGATTCAAAGTTGGGGAGGTTTGTTTTTCCCCATTAGGGATTTTGGGAGAGTCTCTCAACCTCATCTTACAAAATACTGCAGAGAGTTAGAAGTCTTGGCTCCCTGTTGGCTCTTCTAAGAACTGATTCTTGGAGAATCCAGTGTACACACATGTACACTCAGACACACTCTCCTCCCTCCGTGTGCTTTCTACTTGCAAACCCTGCACAGAGTTTAGCTTACTGCAGAGCATGCAGCCACCCAGTGTTACAAATGTATTTATGAAACCTCTGGCTTTTGCAGGGATCAGTTATGAAAACGAGACGTGAAATCATCATTTTTGGAAAGTCAAGGATTTAGAAATTCTAAAACCTGGGGCAGATGCTACTGACGGATCAATCAGGCCCCAGGCAATGTAAACTGATACTAAAAACTGAACATTGGTTCATGCCATTACGAGGAATCCTCAACTTGCATAGTCAGTTTGGGGACCCCTCCTCATTAGCTGATTTACGTGGTTAATCTCCCTTGCAGTGCCATAAAACCTGTGTAAACCGTGTGCCGCTGTCCCCTGACTGGCTACCATTTAAATCCCTGAAGCACCTCATAGCAGTCCAGCTACCCCACAAAGATTCTGATCACCATCTGGATCTGTTTCTTGCACACTGGGCAAGGCGATCTCCCTTTCTTCAGCATTTTTGCACATCTGAAGCAAGCCACTAGGTGAGCAGACCTTCCATGGACAATATTCCCATCCCGTGGCCTCTTCTGGCATAAAAGGCAGGGATTCAACAATTTTTTGATGCTCTCTTGGCATTCTGCTTCCTCCTCCTTTTTGAGTTCACCAAACTCCTGGTCCTTGCATTCTTCTGCCAAACCCAACGACTCCAAAGAGCTGCTGGGGTCTACCAGGCACTTGCATTCTACCGGGGACAGGTCTTTGGGACGGCAAACTGGAGCAGACACGGTCCTTCTGCAATCTGGGACATCAATTCCCTCATCATCTTTTTTGCTTTGAATAGTATCAATGGTGGACAGAGAGAGAGAATGAGCTAGTTTGGGACAATCCGAGTACCAGTCCTTCCGTAAGGCCCAGCAGCGGTAACAGTACCGTTTGACTGGAGAATTAAACTTCTTGCATTTGGTGCATTGCCAGCAATCCTAAAGAACGAACAGAGTGAACATAAACAACAGTAGGTCGGAGCATTCTTGCTAAGGCAGCTTTCCTTTATGTGCCACAAAGAAGCGTCATAAAAAATGGCAGCATGTCATGGCAGCATGTCACAAAGTCAAGGCTAGCAGATGCCTGATGCACAGTGGCAAACTGGAGAGTCCAAGAAACATTTCATTTTTCCCATAACACTTAGACTCAGACTTTCTGCTTAGGAGTTTACCTGACTTTTCCCACCTCCCAAGTCTTATAAGTAAGAGGAAAATAAAGTTCTCATTCTGTGCTGTTGATTGAATTTTAAGTGCCCCGCTCTAAATTCAAGGGTAGATACCTCCCTGGAATGGTTGAACGTCAATTTCTCAGAATCGTTAATTATTTAGCCTCAATTGGGCCTCCACCAAGGGCAATGGCTGTTCAAGTTTAGGGCTATAATTCAGCCGTCCTATGCCAGGGACAACCCAATTTGTCAAGCCAGAAAGCTGTACTCAAATTTTTTTTGGCTCTGCCAACTGCAAGGAACAGTGTGATGTATTTCTTCTGGCATACAGCAAAAGCCTCAAAAGAAAGACTAGAAGATTGGGGAAAAAAGAGCACTGATGACAGAAGATAGATCTGGTGTCACTTAAGATATACTGGAAAGGATGGCCCTGGGAGAATAATCAAAAGGGAAAATTCATTTTTGCATGGTCCAGAAACTGAAGGGGGAAATATGAAATGGGGAGGGGGGGAAGAAACGATCTGTAGTTCAAGTGTTAATTGGATTGTGAATGACCCAGGTTCAATTTCTGCTCCTTCTTTTGTCACCTTGCACAAATCACTTAACCTATCTCTACCTTAGGTCCACATCTGTAATGTGGTGGGAACAGCACTACCCTATCTTTGAGGGTACATTAAAGATTGTGAGGCACACAGAAGATAGTGACAGGGACTGTGTGTGAACCCAAAACAGAGACAACTGGATTCTCTCTCCATCCTTGGTACTACCTTGAAGCCACCAGCAGTGTAGTAGTTGGCTTTGAATTCTCAGGATACAATGGGACTGATTGGAATATAGAATATTGCAGCAACGTGTTTTCTGGTATGATTAATTCTGATCTGGCTATTTCATTGGCTAGAGGGGGCATAGTTTCTATTTCTAAATCTTCTTCAAGGATAATATTCAGATTTCCTTTCAGACTACAATACAGGCTTGGCCCTAGAAAAGTGTGCAAACACCTATATTTACATTTTCCACCTCCAATTAACAAAAACAGGTGGAGGGGGAGATTCTAATTAATTTATTGCTGTGTTGATAGAGCCGGACATTGAGGGGCTGATTCCAATTTACATTATTCTGGCAGCATACATTACATTATTCTGGCCTTTATTTTGTTGTATAAGCCCCAAGCTGCCAGCCAGGGAACAGCTATAGCACAGGCAGATGCAAACTATCCCTCGCGTCTAGCAAAACTGCCTAAACCTGGACCTGAAGGTAGGGATATGAACGGGTAAACAGTTAGCCTGTTATCCAGAAAGCATCACCCGTAACCAACTCCCAGGCCACACAGCAGTTCCCCTCCCCACCTGGCTACAGCTGTCCAGCACAGGGCCAGAAGCATCTGGGCTGGAGCAGCCTCTGGCATAGGGGCCGCTCCAGATCACTCCCATTTAATCAGTTAACCTTAACATTTAACTGGTTAACTAATTAAATGGGATTGGACATCACTACCTGAAGGGACCACTCCATGAGTCATGTGTTCTCTCTACATGGTCCATGCAATGCTTGACCATTCTTCAGGCTACGAACAGGGGGCCGTTTTGTGCCAACACTGCTGTCAGTATTTAACTAGACACCTTCTCAAAACATCCATTAACTTCACGCAGGTGATCAAGCAAAGGGAATGGGTTTTTTTTGCTACAGAGTGCTTATCCTGGCTTTCGAAAGGCTAGCACAACAAATAGTGTACATTTTAGCCAGACAAGGAGATGCAGCATACTCACAGTGTGTCCACTGGGCTGTGGTATAAACATTATTTGTTGGCAATTTTGCAGACAAAAAACTTCCACTGCTTATGGTGGGGGGGAGGATGCAAAAGGAGAGAGGGAGGGAGGGAAGGAAAAGGTCTTGTCTACACTACCACTTAAAAAAACCTGCGAATGACAAAAACTTTGTAGCTCAATTTCCAGTGTAGACAAAGCCTCAGAGAGAGTGGGATGCTGAACTGAATACCTCAGAGGCAGCTTCTACTTCAGAGTCGTCACTTAGGCATTGAGAATCTTCCAGGTCATCATTACCTGTAACCTCACCCACCTGGGAAGATTAAATACGTTATTAGAAGTGTATGTAAATCTCACTAACAACTTTAAAAAAAAATCTGTTCGTGGATTTCTCCACATCCTTCAAATACACAGGTGGGTAACTTGACCCATATGGCTGGTCTTGCTGACCATCGGCTAAGTTTGCAGGATCAGGACTAAAGTGTAAAACTGACTGTGTACAAAGTATCCCCAAAAATGTATAAGAAAAATGTTTTTCCTCTAATTCCTTTTCAGTGCTGAATCGTAAACTACCGACTCTAATAATGGTAGAGAAATAATTCAGAAGTGTGATTTTAAGCTGATTGTGTGCCTTGAAAAAATGACTTCAGATCAAAAAAAGCAGACACAGATGACTCCCCATAGTGCATAGCTTCTGAGAAAAGTGATTCTAATGGACATCCCATCAGCGACTATAGAAGGTGGACTCCTTTACTAAGTAAAACTTACAAAGTTGGCAGGTCTTAGGACTGCCCGTTCCCAAAGAGAATGAATGGCAAAGGATTGCAACATAAATTAGATCAGCTAACATAGCCTAACTGTGTATCGCTAGGAGATACCTTTTTGTCACTCTCTTTCCCCACTTCTTCACAGTCCACTGTCTCCACTTTGACACCAACACTGAGCTGATCCGATGCAGATTCATTGAGGAACCACAAGTCGTCAGTAGTATCTGAAACAATGGCAGTGTCTATGTCCTAGCAGAAAGGAGATGGGGGAAATATATATGTATCAGTGTGGTACTGATTCAACTGGTTTCAGTATGCAGAATTCCAGTGCTTCCAACATGCTGTGCTCTTCTTTTATACCAGACTTCTCCCCACTCAGAAACTCACTCAGTTACTCTTGGGGTAACAAGCAATGCAGTAGAACATGCTGGAAAATGGAGACAAATTTTCACAAAAGCGTCCATTTTCTGACCAGCTCTACAATTCAGTCCCCTTGTTCATAGTTCACACAGGTTAGCCATCATGCAACACATATTTATTATATATTAGTGATTTTTATCCCAAGAGATCCCAAAGACTTTCATGAACTGCATTTACATGGCACCACTGAAATACAGTCTACACTCTGGTAGGGAGAATGGCAGCCCATGGATAAGGAAAACACTGGGGAACAGGAGACATTTTGTGCAGACACACCAAAACAAACCTCACATTCATAAAAAGATCTTTAATTGAACAGATAGAAGGGACGAAGTTGTAAGTCCTCGACAGATTCTGAACTGTGGGGGGAAAAATGACTACAGGAATACTTACTTGACCCACACAAGAGAAGAGAGAGAAAGAATACACATCATTAGTTGTTTAAAGTGTCCATTTACCTGATTGGTCTGTATGTCTGTTGACCCGTTACTTCTGGACTTGTAGTTGTTTTTCAGATTTCCTAAAAACCACCATGGAAGGCCAGCTACATCCCACTCCTCAAATACCAGATCCAGTTTGGGTTTCTTGCTTTTTGAGAGATTTTCTATTAAGTCTTTGTCTGCAGAAGCCAAGTGGAATCTAAGTCATGACAGGCACATGGGGCTTGTGGGACCAGCAAAGCGGGACTCAACCCCATCCAAGTCCAATAAATTGTGTATTATAAAATCTGTAACCCTATACCTTTTTGCCAGAGCTAGGTTAACAAGCCCTTGGCTATATCTATTACAGCATCACCCTGCCATGTTGCACCTCCTGCACTTTTGGATGGGCACGCTGCTTAGAAGACCAGGTTACAGTCCCGTTGATTCTCTTGATTATCCCTTGACCGCCTCCCCTACGCTGCAGAATTTAAGTGACACTTCCTACTAGAAGATGCTCATGAAACCTGGTGTACAAATAAGACTCTCTTGCAATACAGTGGTGCCTCACTGAGCTTCGGCTAAACTGGGCACAGTGACTCAAACTGATGAGTTATATCTAGTTACACCAGGTATGGAATTGGCCCCAAGTTTCCAGCAATGAGTGCTCTGTGATTCCATGAGAAGGCTACCAGCCAGAAACTCTTCACAAGGAAGCAGAGAAAAGAGAATCTACCACTCTTCTCACGCCTTGCCCCACTTTAGCCCATGGAATTCAAGCGTTGTTGTTCCCAAATTCATGGGGGTGGGGGAATCTCATTTCCAAACAATTTTCACTCCAGCTCTTTATTCGGGCCTGCAGTTTTGCAGGCACAGACAAAGACTTGTCTCTACCTGCAATGAGGGAAATATCTACCCATCCTCATTTGGGCCAACCAAAGATGGAGATCGCAAACAGGGGAACCAGCTTTAAAATATCAGATCCTTCGATGTCTGGGAGGGATGAGGAAAAAGGAAACAAACCCTCCATATCACATGTTACGTATGCCACTGAACTAGCAAGAAAGCCTCCAGAGACATTAAAACAAATTTCAAGAGAGGAATTTTCTAGTTGAGGATGGATGAAAAATACAGCAAAGCTTAATGCTATTGTTATTCAGTTCTCCAATAGGGCTGTGGGTATTGACTGCAGACAGCTTGATCTGTATTCCAATTAATTAAAGACAAAGTCCCCATGGAAGATAAATTGATACAAGTGTAATTTCAGCATTTAAAATACCCTTCTAAGATGTTTGGTGGCGTTGCTTAGCAATAGATGTGCTATTTGGCATTAACCTGCCATTTCTGCCAAGTATTTGTTTATTTATGAGGCCAAGTATCTGAGCTAAAAAGCATGTACATCATACAATACCTAGGGCAGATATTTATGGTTCTCTAAATCTTTGCACATAAAATCATGACTTTGGAAGATTACTTTCCACAATAGAATTTTTATTGGTCTCTCAGTAGCCTACTCTAATCAGCTTCTGCTAGGCAGAGCACCATGTGCTGTATTCACAAACGTATAGGTGGGCTTGTGTTTCCCCTCAGTGAGAAAACAACTTGCACTCACCTTCGCAGTTTCCATATTTGAGCTGTGAGGTAGACAAAGCAGGAGAACCACTTCTGTCCTCTGTTCCCTCAGTGTCAGGGCTTCCCTCTGTGCTAGTCTGCTTGAAGGAAGGCAGAAAAAACACCTTTTAGCCCATCAGAGCTTATAGGGACAAGGGGATGTAGCACTTCTACTCTGAGTCACCAGCTTCACTGCCACACCAAGGGGCGCCACAGAATAAAGGTTTTTGAACACAACATATCATATTAACCTTTTCCAGAAAGTTGCTATGGATCTATTATCAGCACACGTGGAGTACTTTCAACCCAGGAAAAATCTCAAGATTGGCAAGAGACCAAAAGTTGCCATCTTTAATGCAGTAATATTGTGATATTCACCCTCCATTGCCCCCACACTCCCAACTGCATAGGCACGTCCCATACCAGACAGTACCAATCCCAATGTATATGCCCCAGACAAGTTAGCACTAGACAAAGATTTTTCCCGGGTCTCCAGATTCTGTCTGGAAGCTTTCGAAAAGGAACCCACTAAGCAAAACCAGTTGACTCTTTTAGGAAGTTCAATCGCTTGCTAACTGTTGTTCGAAGAATGGGAGAAACAAACACACACACACACACACACACACACACACAAACCCCGCAAAGACAGTGCAAGCTGGAGGGACTGAGGACAAGAAGTGCTACACCCCAGAGAAACGCGCCCAGAGAATGGAACTCTGTTATGAAGAGAACAGAGAAGGGTCACTCTGTCCCTGGTCTGTGGACTCCCAAGAACTTTTAAGGAAGGCAAAGACCTGCCAGTGAAGCAGTAAAAAGTTCTGGCAGCACCACGCACAGGTACAGAGAAGGGGCCGCTCTGTACAACAAAAGAAACCACCAGGCAGTGGGTTTACCTTCAGCTGGTCTTGGCTTGGATTATCGACGCTCTGATCCTTTGCGAGAGCAAGAGTCTGTGCGGCATCTATATGGCAGGCAAAACAAAAGAAAAAACCTTCCCTGGTAATAACCATTCTCACAACACAGAGAGCCCTCAGCAAGCAACCAATGAGCCAAGCTTGGCAGACAGGAGCGTGGTACTTTAGAAAGAAAGGATTCTGGTTGCTTAGGCAGCAAGCCAATTCCCAAATGGCTATTACAGGGGGACTGCTTATTTCTTTGTTGTTGATGTAGTGGGCACTGGACTAACATAAGTAGTGTCTATGGCCATTGGAAGACCTTACCTGATTGCAGGTAAGAATCCTGACACTGCCCCACAGGGCCTAGCCTGCTACTGCAAGCTGCCTGCTCCCTTAATTAAGAAGCCAGGTTAGGGGCAGTAAGCTCAATGCAGCAGCAGAGGCAAATGAGGTTATTTACATGTCTAAGGGATAAATGCTCTTTCCTTAGCCACAGAGATTAGCTGTGGGGTGGTATTATTTTGAAGGAGAAAGAGGAAACTGGACCAAAGAGGGGAAGGTCCACATCCTGGCAGGCTCCCCCCATGGCTTTCACAATTAGTGTGCATGTCCTCAATACAATTTAATGCAGACAAATACACAGGCCCGTAAAGGATAAATATCCCGCACCCCAACCCTCCCCTCCAAAAAACCCCAATCCTTACTGTCTAAGCTAAAAGCCAAGACCAACCAGGTTAACAAAAATGATTCTAACTAAACTAAGAGCTCTATTTTCTAAGACTAAATTAGAAATGCAAAGGGATAACCAGTTAACTGGCACCTGGCCCAGCCGGAGCAGTCCCCAGACCGTGGTGTGACAGGCCATGCCCGGCTAGAGCAGAGAAGTGACTCCAAAATGACACTTCTCTATCCCATATTCTCTCCCACTCATGTCCATATCAGATATGCTCCATTTAAAAGATTTTTCAAATGCCCAACAAAGCAAATCTGAAAAATCCAGCCATTTTCTTTCGCTTCTTCCATCATCTGTGCAGTACAGATTCTGCAATCAGAGATTAGCTGATGTTGCCTGAAGCAAAAAGGAATTCAACTCGCTCATCTAAATTGCTTTGGCTTCACAGTATCAGAAGAGGAAAAATGGCTTTATAATGAAGTCTAGCTCTGTCTGAACATACTTTATTTATTTATATATATTATATATTTAAAACCCCCACGCTATTCTTCCAGTGAGCGGAAAAACATTTTTCACACTGGAAAATTCTTTGCCAACATAAATAAAAACAACTAATGTAAAATTTCGAAGTAGACAGCCCGTGTGACACAGGCATACAGGGAACAGTCAGGCTGAAATCGGAGATCTACTGATGGAAAGCACCACATGAGTTAGGTATTATTAAGGAGATATGCTCTTATCACACTGTCACTCTTCCCACAGTAAGTGTACTTTACAGAACCGGCTTTGAGAATTTGCAGAGTGAGGCACTGAGAAGCAGCAATCTAGCTGGTGACTATTGCTTGCTCTCACTGAATAGGAAGCATGACAGGCTATGGAATCCTATGTTTCCAAGTGGAAACATAGGATTCCATAGCCTGTCATGGAAAAATTAAGCTAAGGAAAAATTAAATCCACGAGCACCCTTCCTGGACACTTGTGAATTCACAACTGTGCATACAAAATAAGGGTCCAGTCTGCCAAGCTTGTTTCATTTTGTACTCACACACACAAACACCTGCCGGTATAACTACGTGACCAACTCTCTAAAGGAACATGGTTTCCTTTGGTAAGTTTAAAAATAGTTACACCATGAGTGGAACAAACAAATGCAAGCTCACACACACAAACACACACACCTCCAGCAGAGGGGAGGGGCTAGCAGGCGAGAACGTTTCCCTAGGTCCTTTGCTTTCCATGCATGGTGCTCATGGGTAAGCCAGGGAATCAGCACCATAGAAATTAACACTCACAATTATTCTGCAGATACAGGTAGGTAGTTAGACAAGACAGTGCTCGGGCAGATTTTCCTTTACAGATAAGAATGGGTGATCTCTGGAAGCACTGTGGCATGCTATACAGGATTTGGCCAGTTTCTGAAACGTCCTCTAAATCTGCAAACACCACTATTTGTTTGAGCAAAAAATAGATGTCTGAAAACTGTGACTGTGTTATTAAACTGCTCAGAGCACCAGGAAGCATGGTATGCAACCTCATAATTCTACCAATGCACCTTGCTTATGATTCACATGCTTGCTATTTAAGTAAGAATTCTCTACTGAGTATAGACACCAACACTTATACTCATTGAATGGTAGATTGTGTCATGGGGGGAAACCACCATGAGGGACTAGGTTAAGAACAAGATTAGTTTCAGCTTGTGACTGAATGTCTTTTATGTGGATGGATTTGACAGCTTTCCCCATTACCTGACAGAGTAATTAATGGTGATGTTGAGCGAGTAAGTCAGGTATCCAGACTTCTGACCCTGGACTGGATTATTTAAGGGAACAGGTCATCATGTCAGATTTCTAACACCTCCTATGAACAGTCCTAACTTAGATCACAAAGTATAGACTAGTTGTGGGAAACCTAAGCTAATGAGTGGGCTGTACAAGTGGCCTCCTTCATCTCGGTTGATCACAAAATTGTCGTAACCAACACGGTCTTCCAGGATATGGTAGTTTTGTTAAGTGCACTTGTGTACCTAGAATTTGCAAGGGGTGCTGACTGAACCGTAGCAGCGCTTTGATTGGATGCACAGAGAGTGCATGGCTCTCACAGTCAATGTTGTTTGCAATCATCATGTATGTGACTTCACATGCCCTTGCTTTACGTGCATGTCACTTTAGTAATACCAGTCGGAAAAAAACATGAACAAAAACCAGCAGAATCTGACAACCCTGAGTGTGGGCAACAGTAAACTAAATGCCTCACAAGCCACAGCTCTGATGGGCTGCATGCGGCCCGCGGGTCTCAAGTTGCCCACCACTGGCATAGACGCAAGCAATACAGGCTGAACCTCTCTAGTCTGGACTAGGTCCGGCAATATCCAAATGGCCCGGCATGATTTTAGATAGCCAAATGTCCACTTATGCCAAGTTTCCTGCAGTCCCATAAAGTTTGTTTACAGCCACCAATCCTGGCTCTCAGTGTTCTGTGCTGTTATTTAGCTCTGATTTACCCTAAATATCTTCTAAGAGCCCAGGAAGCAGTGGAAGTGTTGGTCATGCTGCTAGACAATATTGACCTCCCATGGTGCAACAAATTTCTGGTTCAGCACTGGTTAGGTTCCAATGGTGCCGGCCTAGAGAGGTTCAACCTGTAGTAAGGAGACAGATGGGGAACACTCTATATTTTGTACTTTGCCAAAAGTGGAGAGATGAAAAAAGATGTCAGGGGGGTATTTTTAGCCAAGCCAGTTCACTCACACCTAGCATTTAACCCTGTCATTTTCCAGGATGTGCTTCTGGGTATAAACTGTCTTCCACTTTTCAAGGTGTAACCCCAGCCATACACGGGCTTGTCAGGCAAAGGGCTAACTGGTTTCCAAACACATGAACTGCTTGCAGACACACACATGACTTGAATGTGTTCTCTAAGACAGTATCCTCCACATGCAGCTGTTCACTTGAGGAACATTTCTCATTCCTACATACCATTACTTACCCAAATTAAATTAACACTATATTGAAAGCACTTGATTGTACTAGGACAAACCTACCTGTAATAGTAACAGAAGTCAGGTTCCTTTTCAGCATGTCATAAACTGGGCTGCAAGAAAGAGAGGATCAGTGAGCACAATCACAGCAAAAAATAAAATAGCCTGTCCTCATTATTACTTAGTTCTCTGAGTTATCTGATGGCTCCTAATATCTTCACCCACTCCAACCACTATGCAGCAGCATAAAGGAGCAACAACCTCCTTGTACGCAGCCAGTGTAGCTCTCTCAGGGTACGTCTACACAGCGGGCTAAATTTGGAATAAGCTATGCAACTTCAGCGTAGCTTAAGTCGAAATAGCTTATTTCGGCTTTTAATACTGTCTACACAGCTGGAAATCAAAGGAACACTCTTCCTTCAACTTCCCTTACTCCTCATGAAATGAGGGTTACAGAGGTTGGAATAAGAAGTCCTCCAGTTTGACATTATTTTGAAATAAAGGCTTGAAGTGTAGATGCGCTCTTTGTTATTTCGCCTCCACAACAATCCAAGCTCCCGCTGAACTAAGAAACAGGGGACTTGTAATTACAGAAATTAGAGACAGGAAAGACCTGTTACACCAACTAGTCCAGCACCCAGAGAGTGCAGAAATGTTCCTTCAAGCAGAGAGTCAAATTCCGGCATGCCAAACGACACTTAGAGCATTAACAATAAGCTAGTGGACCATTGAGGGCTCATCGACACCCTAAAAAGAAACAACGTTGTAGCTGGGTCCCCTCCCTCAGCAATACCTAATTATGGTGGACCATTTCCCATAGCGAGCACACTGTAAATCTGCATCTCTTCCTACCTTGGATCTTTCACAGAGAAGTTCTCCAGTCCCAGCAATTCACCCAGTTGATCCCCTCCACAATACACCATGTGCTGCTGCCGCTTATCATATAGCTGCCTCGCTATTATATACTGTCCCAGGTAACACATGACCTGTGGATAGGTAAAATAGTATTAGTTAGTTCTGCAGTTAATACTAAATCAGGAAGGTTTCCAGGGCTTTATGACCCATTTCATTCTTTCACTTCCTTCCTTTAGCGGACATGACACGGTGCCAGTAAAAAAACACCTCTTTCTCTAGGACAGAGATCACTCTGCTACAGAGCCTTCCACTCAGCATGATGGGCCGGCAAAGGCACATCTCAAGCATTGGAGATATTGACAATTCTATTAATGGGGGAAACTGAGGCATGGAGGGGTGATGTTACAATGCCCAAAGATTTACAATGAGTCAGTGATAGAGCCAGGACTTACAGCTAGTTTTCCCAAAACTCAGTAAATCACTAGGTTACCCTTGTTCTCTAAATCAGAGTGTAATTTAGTTATCATCTGAACCAGATTCATGGTCCAAGCAGGGTGGTTGGTTTTTTTTAAATAAAAAATGTTTGGTCACAGTCTGTTGGCAAGCTGTTCTGAGGAGGGACCCTTTCAACTTTTTCAAAAAAATACAATCTCTAAAATACAAGTAAAGATCACAAGCTATTCCATTTTTTCCCCCTCTTTGCACCCTCAAAATCTGTAACAAGGCAGCGTCACAGAGTTTCCTAAAACAAGATGCTGGTTTTTGTATGTATAAGAACCAATATTCCTGTAACTTCAAGTGCAGTTTATTTGGCTCTGGCATTTAATCAAAACACTAGGTTCCATGTGATCCATCAAAAAAGGGAAATGTAGTCTTGGCCAATTTACAACAACTCCAAGTTCAGTATTGAATTAAATGGAAAGATTTTACCCACTGACACTCCTTCATTAATTTCAGCCATTTAAAATGTCAGTAAGCAAAAAAGAAACCTCTTTGCTGCTTCAGATTACAACAGAGAACAAAACAAGACTGAAATTATTTATAATCTAGAAGATTTACCCAGGATTGCTCAGATTCTTAACTCAATTACATTTTGTTTTTCTTCATTTAAATAATTGCTCAGGGGTGGAGGTGGGGATGAAGGGTTCAGTATGCAGGCTGTGAGGGGTGAAGGCAGAGGCCCCTGCCAGCCCCTTTTCACCTGCCTGGTGAGTGTGTCTCTCTTCTGTATGGTTTTATGAGAAGCAATCCCATTCCTGGCACATCCCATTTTCCTGGCACAAGCAAACCCTAATCTTGCTTTCCATTATAAGAGAAAGCTGTGTACTGAATTTGCTCAGTTCTTGAACAGACACACACACAGACATACTCTCTCAGACATTGGAAAATGCACAGACTTCTTCTTAGCCAAATGAAAACCCAGCTGTCTGGCAGAAAGGCTCGGCTGACAGCCTCTGTAATCACAACAGCTATTCTGAATGACCCTCAGATTGCACTCTAGTGGCCATGCAGCAAACCCATGCTACAGTGTTGGTACTTCTCTGTAATCCCTGAAGTGTGTCTTCTACTGTCTTCTCTCCAAAGTGAAAGGGCATGAAGTGAAGTGCCTCAGTATGAAGAGAGGCCGAAATATCACTGGTTAAGTGAAAGAACGCACAAATTGCGGCCCTGACCTTGAGGAGACCATATGCTTGGCCCAGGCAGATAATCAAGATCATAAAAGTACGATGCTCTGTATTAGAACCACAGAGAAGGGAAGAAAATGGTTCCTCCGATATAAAAAATAATGTCCCTTAAGGACTAAGGCCACAGAACTGGGTACAAAGAGTATCTTTAGGTGAACTCAAGTTAGAATCCAAGAGGTAAACGGCTAATTGTTTATGCATAACAGAAGCGGGACTAGACACCTGATTAGAAGAAAGAGAGGACTCACCTGAACAAAGATAAAAGCAACTGAAGAAGTTGCTAACAGTGCTTCTATTCACTACAGGAGCACATACTACAGTGTACTGTAGCAATCTGCATTTAATACTGACCCTCCTCATTTAAAGCATTCAACTTGTTTTTCTTAAAAAAAAAAATTAGATTCTAAATAAGTTGTTTAAATGCATAAGCATTTAAAATAAGTCACACAGCTCTACTGGAGGATCTGACACATTCATAATGAAAAACTGCCACATTTAATTCTTTGCTGACAGGATACTCCTGTAAATCACAGGCAGTGTCATTTTTTAAATCTTGTATACATTTTGCATTTTAATCTTAAATGAATTCACAGGGTGTCTTAGGTTTAGCTGACAAGACGTTTCAAAGGAAACATAAGAGCAAATATCAACTGAAGTACAATTGAAGAACTTTCAAGACATGAATGATAGTAAAACAATTGCAGAGAAGTTTCCAACAATCTCTCAAGAGTGCATCTATCCATTACATCTCTCCTAAAGTTGTTTCCGGAGTCTCAAAAACTATAATAATGTTCATTCATATTTTGCATTCTTATAGGGATTCCATCAGAGAATCTCAAAATACTTTGTGTCAGATCCACAAAGGTATTTAGAACTTAAGGCCCACTAAAATCAATGGGAGTTGAGGAACTAAGGCACTGAGGCACAGGGAGTTCAAGCACCTTATTGCGTCTGTTGATTTCCAGGCCCTGTGGTCCCAATCCTGCAAGATGAGCTATCGGAGACAGTCCCTATGCCCATGTGGAGCCTCACTGACTTCAGTGAGGTTATATCCCCACCAAACAGCTTGTAGGGGCAAGGCCTGAGTGAGGAGACCCCGATAAGCGTTCCCTCTAATCTTTTCCATCCATGTGCAGATCAATTTTTATGTGCATCAGCAGAAACAAAAAACCTAGCTGGGAATGCTCTGCTAATCAGCTGGGCAGCATTTGAATCTCTCCTGAGTGGCTGCACAAGTGCCCAGCTTACAGGGAACACTGACCCTGACGACAAAACAAACTTGTGACAGAACTACTAAGAAAACTCAGCTCTCCCATTCCTTAACTTAGTGCATTATCTCTACTAGCATATTTTATGCATAGCCTCAGGGTTCTTTCTAGCCTGCTAGAGATTACACCATTGCATGGGTGTTTATACAGTGTCTAGAACAATGGAACCCTATTTCATGATTGGGGCCCCTAGGCACTACCTTAACACAAATCATTCATAACAAAATAATTTTCCATCTTCAAGGTCATGGATATCAAATTCACAATGTGGCACATAATCATCTGTTAACTACTACAGCTACTTTCTTGGTTTAACTGTCAGAGTAGGGTGCTGGGCTCACCTCCTTCAATGTGAAGGTTTCACCTTGTGCACCTGCTGCTTGCAGAATCTTCAGGAGTGGCAGTTTTGGTCGCACCTAAGATACAAAATATATAGATTTTGATTGAACTACATTATGAACTGTGTCCACAGGCATCAGTTATGTTGTTAATAAATGCCGGGAGCACACCTCGTGGCAATCATTATAGCAATTCCAGATAAGTGATTCTACGGCGAGATGTTGGCCAAGGGGACTGTTAGCCTTCGAGGTACCCTCCCAAGGATACAGTCATGTTCTTCTAAGTTAATGACATGCATCTGAGAGATGCCTGAAGAAAAGACAGTCCTATACATGGCAATGAGCTTCATGCAGATGAACCCTTGTGGCTGTTCAGAACCCTGCTGAAATATATACAGGCCTACCCAAGCAGAGCTCATTGCAGCATCAGGTTCTGTAATGGTATGCTTCACTAGTTAGAATTAAAAGTCAGTCAATGCAGCCTCTCTACTATATTGATCCTTATATAAAATGAATGCAATAACATTCTCCACAAAAATGTGAAGGTGCCCCAATCTGATTGCTCATACAGGCAGTCCCCGGGTTACGTACAAGATAGGGACTGTAGGTTTATTCTTAAGTTGAATCTGTAAGTAAGTCGGAACTAAGTATCAGAGGGGTAGCCGTGTTAGTCTGAATCTGCAGAAGCGATGAGGAGTCCTGTGGCACCTTATAGACTAACTGAAGTGTAGGAGCATAAGCTTTCGTGGGCAAAGACCCACTTCGTCAGATGCATGTAGTGGAAATTTCCAGAGGCAGGAATAAATATGCAGGCCAGGATCAGGCTGGAGATGACCAGGTGGATCCAATCAAGGAGGATGAGGCCCACTTCTAGCAGCTGATCTGGAGGTGTGAATTCCAAGAGAATAGAAGCTGCTTTTGTAGTTAGCAAGCCATTCACAGTCTTTGTTTAATCCAGAGTTGATTGTGTCAAACTTAAAGATGAACTGTAGCTCAGCAGTTTCTCTTTGAAGTCTGGTCCTGAAGTTTTTTTGCTGCAGGATAGCTACTTTTAGATCTGCAATTGTGTGTCCAGGAAGATTGAAGTGTTCCCCTACAGGTTTTTGTATGTTGCCATTCCTAATATCAGATTTGTGTCCATTGATTCTTTTACGTAGGGACTGTCCTGTTTGGCCGATGTATATAGCAGTGGGGCATTGTTGGCACATGATGGCATATATTACGTTGGTGGATGTGCAGGAGAATGTACCAGTGACAGTATGGCTGATCTGGTTAGGTCCTGTGATGGTGTTGCTGGTGTATATATGTGGGCAGAGTTGGCACCGAGGTTTGTTGCAAGGATTGGTTCCTGAGTTCGAGTTATTATGGTGCGGTGTGTGTCCTCCACGGCTTTGCTCCGTGTCTCCCTGGTCTGCTGGGGCCACCCCCACAGCAGACCAGGGAGACGTGGAGCAAAGCCGCGGAGCATGCGGGCAGCGGGACAGCCCAGACACGCCGCGGCTGTCCCGCTGCCGGCATCCTCCGCGGCTTTTCTCAGCGTCTCCCTGGTCTGCTGGGGGGGGCTCCTCCTCTCCCCTCCCCCCAGCAGACCAGGGAGACGCGGAGCAGCTTTTCTCGCCCCGGAGGACGCGGGCGGCCAGGGAGACGTGGAGCAAAGCCGCGGAGCATGCGGGCAGCGGGACAGCCCAGACACGCCGCGGCTGTCCCGCTGCCGGCATCCTCCGCGGCTTTTCTCAGCGTCTCCCTGGTCTGCTGGGGGGGGCTCCTCCTCTCCCCTCCCCCCAGCAGACCAGGGAGACGCGGAGCAGCTTTTCTCGCCCCGGAGGACGCGGGCGGCGGGACCATGGCGCATCTGGGCGTCCCGCCGCTCCCGTCCTCCGGGGTGAGAAAAACCCTGTTCGTAACTGCGGATCCGACATAAGTCGGATCTGCATAACTCGGGGACTGCCTGTATTAACAATTGAATGTTACCATGCTTTATACATACAACCAATATTGCTACATTAGACCTTTCTTCCATACACCACCTGCATCCTTCAGTACTGAATATCCGCAGACAACAGGTGATGGATTTAAAGTGTGGCATGTTACAGGACAGTTATATGCAAGAACAGTGGCATTTTTTTGGAACAAATCCCGATTAACTTTAGGACCAAATCCTGAGTCAGATAAAGACTATATATTGCTGCATCTCAAAGGAAAAGTCATGTGTGTGTGCAGACAGACAATGGCAATGTATTTGCACTCAGAACCTGGCCCTCAGCATGCAAAAGTGCGGCTTTCACAATTTTAGCGCCGTCTACCAGAGCTTCCTCCTTTTTCCCCTCTCTTTCAGAGTTAACAAAGCCAATTAAGGCTACAATAATGCTCTAGCAACTGTCAGAAAAGTCTTTTAAAAGACTGCGGCCAGTTTCACCTGCCATGTAGGAAATGGTTTCATAAGGCTGGAAAAACAGAAGTTCTGAAAAACAGTGGCAGGGAACAACTCTTTCTAGGCTGGCCTAATTATTTCTGCTCAAATAAATCAGATGGAAGCAATGGTTCTGTCAGACTAATGTTATTTTTGAAAGACAATAGGACTTACAGATGAAGAGAAAAATGATCCAGTCCAGTCCTCTCATTAGGCTAGTGGCATAAAGAAATAGTGAGGTAGGTCTGAGCTCTCTGTACTTGTTGCATACACATGCTTGATTCCACATTACAGATAGGTAAGAGATCATATGCTGGTTAGAATACAAATGGCCAAATGCCTCCACTGACTGTGGTGGGAAGGATTTTTGTATGCAATTCTCTTTACTGTTCTCCGAACACTTTTCAAAGGCTAAGTACTGCACTGCAACTGCCCCATCACCCTCTCCTTTATGTTTTAAAAAAAATTGCCTCTATTAATTTTAATATGTAGACTAGCACCTTAGCTGCCAAAATGGAGATGATAATGTTAGTTCAAGATAATGGGTGTAGGCAGCCAATATTTCCGGGCTAACATAGAAGTCTGGTTATTTATTTACTAGAAGACTTACCTGGTATTTCCCAGGTCTGGCCGGGGGGGCGGGAGAGAAGACCTGTGCAGGCTGACCAGCCTAGCCGTGATGGGGGAAGGGGGACTGTGGCTCCTGCAGTTGGGGTGGGGTTGCACTGCCCGGCCCCAGCAGTGCTCCCAGGGGGAAGAGAATGAGCACAGAGGGACTTCCCTCCCTGCCACACGGGCACTGGGGAGGAGCAGTTTGGAGCAGGAGGGCCACTAACCTGGGCCGGGGGACAGCAAGATGGAGAGGCCCATCCCCAAATGGCCATTCCCTTCCTGGTGCAGCTACCCCCAGAGGTCACTGTGCAGTATCATATCCCTCTGATCAGCCTTCTCTCTTTCCAGGTTATAGAAAACAGTTGAATTCCAGGCAAATCCCGTTTACCTGGCGCAACCAAACCCTGACCTTGTCTTAAGTTAGGATAAGAGGAAGATGCCTACCAAATGCAGTGGTCCTAACTGCTACCGTTTAGGCGTTCTTGAACACATTCACAGACACACACACAAACACATCTCTAAAATATATACATAGATATTTCTGCAGTAGAATGAGCTAAATAAAGCAGCATATCAATCAATTCTGCATGGGACTTGGGTGGATTTTACCATTTGTAAATTAAGTATATGGAGGAGTTCAAGTCCCTTCAGATGCTAATTTACGCTCTCCATCTTCAGCCACCCCCATGCTCTTACCAATGAAAAAATCTTCAAGACACAGCCCTATTCCTGTCTGGGAGAAACCACTCAGTTTGTAGACAGCATTTTTCTAGACACAGCTCACACTGCAGATTTTTCTCTTTGACTGCCAGCCAACACACTGGTGAAGTGTCAGTTTTCCAGACTTCCATACTGCACGCAGAGAATTGCCACGCTGGCTTCTAATTGCTTTCCTAAGGCAGTCACGCTAGGACATACTGGCACTCACTCCACCAATGCCCTGGGAATAGACTGTTATGGGGCACAGCACATGTTCAGTGTTTACTCAAGGTAGCGCCAAGAGAGAGATGTTACTGGCTTTATAAAGTAGGTCAAACAGATGAGTGTCTTTTCATATTCTGAGGAAGTGCATAATTTCACAGTTACATGGAGTCCAGAGTTTTAAAAAAAGATCTCTGGGTGGCCCTTTGTAAGGGTATGTCTACTCAATCACTTATGCCTCTCTGGGGTACGGATAGCCCACTTCTCTATGCAACATAAATTACGCCAGCATAATCAATAGGATGCAGAGAGCTTCTTCCACAGACCCTGTTGAGGGTGGATTAATTATGTCAATGGGAGGGCTCTCTCCTATTGGCCCCGAGTGGCTACACAAGAGATCTTACAGTGGTGCAGTTATATTGGTACAACTGTGCCTCTGTAAGTACGCTAGTGTAGACACAGCCTAAAATATGAAACCTGGAAATACACATATGGAGCATGTTCCTGTGTGGACAGTTTAACCCACCTCACTTTTTCCCCCACCATTTCAAATATCAGTCCAATATTACCTATCTATCCTCCACACCAGCAGCAGTACTAGTTAATGTTCACACACCACAGACTTGATGGAAGACTATTCATTCCACCCTGTACAAAAGGCCACATGCCATGAAGTCAAAGATGCCCTAGTTAGGGTTTGACTGGCCTTATTTTTAATAAGAAGAGAGGAAAGTCAAGGGTGTGTGTGTGTTGGGGGTAGACTGGAAGGGGGAGATTACCTGGTTAGCTTGCCCAAGTGTGATTCTGCAGGCACTCTCAGATGCTGGATACTGGTCAGAGGTTGAGGATGTCATATTGGCAGTGAAGTAGCTGTCTACAGTATAAACTAAAACAACAACATTTTGTTTAGTAGTAAATCAGAAACAGCAGATCCTGAGTTTAACAATTTCTACTTCCTAGATACTTTAGAAAATCAACCTTCCCTGCATGTACAGCCGGCCCCTGATTTACGACCATTTGCATTTACAACCAAACTTCCCATTAAGCGGTCATAAAGGTGGTCCCCGAATTACGAACGTGACCCGCGCTTACGAACAGCGTGGTCACAATGTAAATCAATGGGGTCCGACTTACGAACATTTCGAGTTACAGCCAAGTGTTTGGTCCGTAACTTGTTTGTGACTTGGGAACCGGCTGTACATCCTAAAATGTAGTATAAAAAATATAAAAATACTGCACCAGCATATGCAGTTGTTTTATAGTTTGATAAACTGAGCAATCGACAACCAATTCTCCCCTAGGTAAAGTAAACCTAGGGATGTAACCAGTTAACCTGTAAGCAGCCTTATCAGATGATGCTTACTGGTAACCATTTAACTGGTGGCCCAGCAGGACAGGAGCAGCCCCGGCCTGATGCACGGTGGGGAAGCTTGTGATGGGATGCGGTCAAATACGACCTATCAGGGGTGCCTCCCGGGATGCTGGCACGGCCACTGCCACTCGCCTTCCCACTCTCTGGGGCTCCTCACCGCCTGGTCCTGCTCAGCCAGCTCTGCCCATCTCCCCCAGCCAAGGCCCCAAGCTGAGATCGCTGCCAGTTTAGCCGGGCCCAGCCTCCTAAGACAGCACTCTTCAGATGGGATCAGACCCCAAAGAATTAGGTAAGCCACCTTTAACAATGAAAGGGGGAATGTGCACACTGGTTGTCCCCCCCGCTCCCCCTCCCCGGGTAACAATTATGTACACTGGGTTGGATAGAAAATAGAAGCGATTAAGTGGAAGCAGTAGGATTTAAGTATTAATAAGTGAGAACAGGCAGAGTGAAGTAGGTTACAAATCAAAAGAAACAAAAACGCTTGGCTAATTCTACACCGAAACCTCAGTACAAACTCTTCAAACTCACCCTAAAACCTCTATTCAGCTTCTACTCCAAACCAAGGCCCTCTTTCCCACCCTGGGATCTTCGGCTCTTTCCTTCAGGTGCAGCCCAAATACCCAGGCCTCTGCCAGGCCTCTGCTTTCCTATTCTTTTTATTAAGGAGTTGAGGCCACTTAAGGACAAAAGCTTGTTTAACAGTGGCTCATCAAGAAGTTGTGGCTAACACCCTCCAAGTCTCCCATTCACACATCTGAAACTCACAAAGTATTCCCCTTTGAGTTATGTAAATTCATGTCCATAATCCATTTCAAAAGCATGGGGGGTCCCATCACCTTCCCCCTGAAATTACTTGGACAGTGTCCAAGATGAAGGCAGTGTATCCAGAAGTGCACCTGGGTTTTGGCTGCCCAACCATCCAGTGTCACCAAATCTTGTGCAGTCATTCCTGGCATTTCTTCCAAAGTTGGTCCCCGATGGTCCAAAATGCATGAGGGTATAGCAGTGCCCCCAGCATGCAGAGAGCAATGTTGCTCCATATGCACATAGCTTTATATTTAGTCACCATTGCCATGAGGTGACGTGCCTCAGTTTCCCTTTCCACACAGCCATGCAAGTTGGTTGTGCCTCTGCTGCTATGCCCAGATTTAAGCCCATGCACAGATTTAAGCTTGTGCAGTCATTAGCTTAGAAGCTGCATGATCCTGGAATCCTTTTACTCCTGTCCCTAAGGGGCACAAAAACTCTTCCAAAATCTTAAGCATGTTACAGTTTCAAGAGGTTTACAGTCCACATCAAACTCTTTGTGCTAACCTATATGAGTTGCAAGGAAAGACATAAGATTACCTGCAAGCCAATTCTACAGTAGTGTTTCCAAGTATGGTTTTCAGCTCTCTCTAGACCAGTTTCCCAACCTATGGGTCGGGACCCAAATATGGGTCGCCATTACATTTCAAAAGAGTCGCTAAGTGTCTCCCCAGGTGGCTCTGCCTCCTCTCCTCTCCTTTTCCCTTCCTCCTCTCCCTCCCCCCCATTTTTGAACTGCCTTGGATCACCAAGTCTTCCTGAATTGTCAAAATGGGTCCCCATCTGGAAAAGGTTGGAAACCGCTGCTCTAGTCTAGACTTCCCCCTTTTACAACTTCTATGTCCCAAGGGGTGCATTCAACAATAGCTTTTTCTCTCTCATCAGTGAGGTATGTGTAGGCCATGTCAAGCACTCCTTGGAGGCTCTGGGAAGAAATTCTGCCTCACATTATCCTGGGAAGGAATGTGTTCCCAAAAGAGAGGCTTTCCCCTCCCCATGCTGGAGTATTTCTCACTCCTTTTGATTTGTCCTTTTCATATATGTTCATTTTTTTAATTGTATTCTTTGGTATATATGGTTGTGACAATTTTCTTCCACTATTTGATCTGAGGAAGTGGGTCTGGCCCACGAAAGCTCATCACCTAATAAATCATCTTGTTAGTCTTTAAAGTGCTACATAGTTCTGTATTTTGTTCCTTCATCTCTATCACTTCCCTGAGGTGTTACATTAGCAGGCTCTCATGCATTTACAGACAACAAATGGAACAACAAATAGTTGTTCAGCCTGAGACTTCTACCTCCCTGTCTCAAATCAGGTGCCAATTTGGTGTCTGACACTTGTGTGTTCTGACCCAGTGGGGTTTCCACTAGTACCCCAGGTTCTGCTTCCATGAGGGTAAAGGCAGAGTTACCCCCACTGAGAGTTCAGACTTACCACCACCCCACCCACCGTGAAGCATGACTGACAGACAGGCGGCTTGGGTTTACAGATGCACACCCAGCATCCATCTCCCAGCCCTCCCTGTCAAAGATGGATGAAGGACCCATCTTGTTCCTTCTTCTCCAGGATATCTGCCACTTGTCCAGCTGAAGCCCTGAAGTCTTCGCTGTTTCCTCATGGGGTAAGCTCTCAGGTACCAGGCCCCTGGATTCCTCAGCTCCTACAGCAGCCTTTTGGTCTCCAGCCTCTGCCTGAAGGCTCTGCTCCAAGGCACACACCTCTTTTCCTCCCAGGGTTGGACCTGTCCCCTGCTGTACCCATGCCCCCCTGGACATACCACAGCCTGGACAGACTCATTGAAACTGGACAATAATGCAGGGTCAGAGCTGGTTTCCTCTGTCCCTCCTCCTGCTTGCAAATTGTCCAGCTCAGCTAGAGCTTCCCCAGCCCCTGTGGAATTTCCCTCCCCCTCTGGGCTTTCAGCACAAGATTCCTTATCCCTGCTAACAATCTCTGGGATGGACTCAGCCACTTTACAGAGGTTATTTCTCTGAATCAATGTGCAAAGTTCTCAGCCAGTACAGCCAGTTCGTGTATCCTCTCTCTTTCCCCCTTCTTTCAAGCAGCTCTTCCTTCTCTATCCATTTCAAGTCATATTAATTTTAGGGTTTCCTTGTGGGCAGCTTGCTCCCGGGCAGCTTGGGCTTTTATGGCTTCCATCTCACGCCGCTTTAACTCCACCAGTCTCTTGTGTTCTGCCTCCTTGGCTGCTTCCCAGATTATGTACAGCTCCCATTCCTTCTGCACCTCACTCTCACTCATTTTCCTGACTCTGTTTCTGTTCCCCGAAATAAGCAAACAGAAAATAACAAACCAGTAACCACTTTGTCTGCCTTCCAAAAACCTCACTTAGAACCCACTTAAAATCGCAACAAGCAACCAGAGCAACCAGCTGTGCGCATTTACCCTGCTTGCTGCACCACTGGGGGGAGGGGGTCACAGATGGCCCCACAGGGGTACCTCCCAAGGTATTGACATGGCCACTGCCACTTGCCTTCCCAGTCTCTGGGGCTCCTCACCGCCTGGTCCTGCTGGGCCAGCTCTGCCAGTCTCCCACAGCCAAGGCCCCAAGCTGAGGTCCCTGCCCCCACCAAGAAGCAGTACAGACACTGAACCTCTTCAGGTCTGAGGAGAGTGCAGTTTAGGGCCCAGCCTCCTGAGATAGCACTCCCCAGATGGGATCAGACCCCAAAGAATTAGGTAAGCCCCCTCGAACAATGAAAGGGGGAATGTGCACACTGGTTGCCCCCCAGGTAACAATTTCTTACACTGGGTTTGATAGAAAATAGAAGTAATTGTATTAAGTGGAGGCAGTAGGATTTAAGTAGTAATAAGTGAGAACAGGCAGGGCAAAGTAAGTTACAAATCAAAAGAAACAAAAACGCTTGGCTAATTCTACACTGAAACCTCAGTGCAAACTCATCAAACTCACCTAAAACCTCTTGTTCAGATGCCACTCCAAACCAGGGCCCTCTTCCCCACCCTGGGGTCTTCAGCTCCTTCCTTCAGGTGCAGCCCACTCCATGTGTCTAATTTTACACACACAAATGATACACACAACAGAGGAAGATAAACAGAACCAGCGGATCATGACATGCAGATTGATGGGTTACACAAAATGATTTGCTCAAAGCACCTTTGAGTTATGTAAATTCATGTCCATAAGTCCATTTAAAAAAGCATGGGGTGAGGGGCTCCTGTCACAAGGCTGTTCCAGCCCAGTCAGACTCATCCTGCTGTGGGCTGGGGAGGCACTTTAGCCCACAGCAGGATGGGCCTGCCGCACCATGCCATGGGCCCCTTAAGCCCATCTGAGCTTAAGGGGCCCATGGCAGCACCCCCGCCGCAGGGTTAACTGATTAAACCAGTTAACTGATTAAACGGGATTTTACATACCTACAATTCATCTACCTGGACAGGTAGCCTTGTAAGAGCCACTGGGACTGAAATCTTCAGCAACCAAGTAGTAAGTTTTCAATTTGCTTTTATGAAATTTACAATTTCTGTTCACTAAATATCTCAAGCTGATTTATACTGGGGACACTTCCCCATACCTCCTTTCACTATGCTCTAGCAAACTTTGCTCATTGGGAGACCAATGCTGGGATAAGGTATTCCCACACTCATCTGGAAATCCCAGACCGTCGTTCTTTCTGTTGTGACCTACCTGCTCACTGAAAAGTCTTCTGTGACATGTTGAGGCAAGATCTTAATGAGTCAGAGTGGACAGTAACAGCTAATTCATAGTTTTAACCCCTTTGGAGATCCTTACAGACAATAGCAGTTTCATGAGTCAGAGAGAGGTGGGTGGAACTGAATGCTAGTAATTAAACACCCACTTCAAATTGGTGGGAACAACTTCTTAACAAAAAGCTCCAAAGATCATTGGATCCCTATCCCTCTCACTCTAAAGAACATCCAAGTTCTAAACAGGTTCTAACCATAGATGCTACAGAAGCCTGAAATGGGAAGATTTTGACCTAAGTAACAGCTCCCTTTTCGGTGCCTTCAGAGGTGTATGGAGCTAAGAGGTTAGACTCTGACAGCACACCTGTTTAGTTAGAATTATTAGCCTTTACAGAAGGAGACACAAGCAAGAAGCAGCTGTCCAAGGTCAATAGCACAGCTAGGACTAGAACTCCAATATCCTGAATCCTAGGCCATTCTCAAGCTTCTCTTGCTGATATAGCTAATGCCATTAACAGAGCATTTTCACCAGACTGAATATATGCAGATGGCCTAACTCTGCAGTGACACATTCTCTTTGGTCTGGTCTAAATAAAAAAGTTAATCGTACCCAGCTCAATATGTGAAAAATACACAACCCTGAGCAACTCTAGGTAAGCTGACCTAAATCCGGCCATTCTCAAGCTTCTCTTGCTGATATAGCTAATGCCATTAACAGAGCATTTTCACCAGACTGAATATATGCAGATGGCCTAACTCTGCAGTGACACATTCTCTTTGGTCTGGTCTAAATAAAAAAGTTAATCGTACCCAGCTCAATATGTGAAAAATACACAACCCTGAGCAACTCTAGGTAAGCTGACCTAAATCCCGGCTGGTCACATGTCGGGAGCCCGCCAGGAGGCCAGGCAAGGAACAGAGCTGGGCTGGGGGGGCAGAAATGATCTCCCCTGATCTGGCAAATCCCTTCTTCAGGACCACTTAGGTCCCCAGGGCGCTGGATCAGGGAGGGCCAACCTGAACAAAGCTTAGCTTTGTACTGCAGAGTCTGCAGCAAGACCTCCTCCCCAGGAGTGGAGCAGGCAGCTCTTGCCCACCTGGCTCCCGGGGAAGAGGCTTCACTGCCCCAGGAGCAGAGCGGGAAGCCTTTGCCTGTCTGGCTCCTAGGAAGGAGGCTTCGCTGCCTTGCCACAGGGAAGCTGCCTCCCTGGAAGCCAGTCGAGTTTAACCAACATCATTAACCGACAAGCATCAGCTTATCAGTTAAGAGTTTAACCAAATAACCATTTAACATCCCTAGTTCATACCCAGCTACCACATACCATACCACGAAAGGCATTGATAACTGCACAGACTGCTAAGCTTTCAAAAAGTAATGTCTAGCCATCTCACAACATTTTGATGAATGTAATTCAAGAATACCATTTAAAACCTGTGCAGTCTGCAAAACCTAACATTTGTCACTCCATACTTCCAACATAATAGATACAGCCCTGCAAACCCACCCATACCTATCCGTAGAGACCTGCGTGGATACAAAATGGGTATCCACATTCACACCAATATCTGCAAAAATGAGCCACAAGCTATCTGCATTGCCATCCACAGATGCAGGTACTCGCAGATAAAATGGGGATATTAGTGGATTTGCAGGGCTTTACTTATTTGCCTTATATCCACAGACCATTTTTGCAGATTCATATTTTATATCGAAACCCCAGCAAATCTGCAGATATCTGCATTTCATTTTTGTGGATTGCAGATTGGATGCGGCTACAAATTGGGTATCCACGCAGGGCTCTAATAATAGATTTTGACTGTGCAGATAGGACTTCTCTAAGATACTACTACTCACTAAAAACCCTGTTATAGCTATTCTTGTACACAGATCTTTGTAAGATGACTGCAGAAAATGGTATGGTTACAGGCATTTGGAGGGCAGAGGGTAAGCTTTTCCTCTATTCAGCCTTACTGTATCTTCAAGGGCTTCAAGTTGCACAATAGCACTGATATAAAGTTACACAACAATATCAAGTAGTCTGTCATTTTGTAGAGCCTACCTAACTTTAAATTAGTTAATTTTTGCTGTTCTGCTTTCATTTAGAGTTGCATGCTGGTTATTCTTTGCTTTGAAGATTTATGGCATTCCATCAGGAAATAGTGAAGACACAGATAGATAGATATATTTTTGCACAAGAGTCCTGTAATGTATTATTTACCATATGCGGACTGTATTTAAAACTCATTCAATATTTTTTTAAGTATAGGTAAATTCAGACCTGCCATTTAAAAAATATATATCTATTTTAAGTGGTCAGGGCTTCATTGGCAGAAGACTTATTAGTCATGACATAGCTGCCATAGGATAGGAATGTGAAGCTTAATGAGACACATGAAGGACTGCCAATAAAAATCCAAAACTAATCTCTGACCGATAACAATTAACATTTGCAAAAAATGATGTAACATTTTTTATTTCAAAAATTACACAACCATTTTTTGAGGGGGGAGGAGAAGAAGGAAGATGAAAATCTAGGTTTATTTTCAAATTGATTGTTCCCATTAAAAAAAAAACTTAAGTGCTGATAAAGGGCTCTATAAATCTTCCTATATCAACCACCAGCTACAAGATATTTGACACTGGTGATGCAGCTAGAAAACTACTGTAGAGAAACATGCTTCCAGTAGTCCTATCCTAATATGGTTTTCCCTTTGGGTACGTCTAGACTACAGGGGTTTGTTGACAAAAGTGGACTTTTGTCGACAAAACTATAACTGTGTCCACACTGCCTTTGAGTTATGTCGACATAACTCAGCAGTTTTGTCAACGTATGTAAACCTCATTCTCCGAGGAATAACGCCTTTTGTTGACAGAGTTCTGTCGATAGAAGGCATTATTGCATCTACACTGTCCTTTGCGTCCACACTGCTTTGTCGTCAGAACTGGATGTAGTCTAGACGCTCTTTGTCGACAGAAGCTTTGTCAACAGTATCTGTCGACAAAACCCTGTAGTCTAGACACACCCTTTGAAAGGACAGCACTGAGAGTGACTGATTTCTAAGTATGTCTACACTACCAAGTTTTGTCAAAAAAAAAAAAAAAACCTTACGTCAACACTAGGGATCTGAATACTTAACTTACCCTTTATCAGGTGATGCTTATGAATTATGGTTAACCAGTGAGGGCGAGAGCAGCCCCCTGCCCTCTGTAGGGGGGGGGGAACCTCTCCCTCATCACCATTTAAGCAGTTAATCGGTTAAACATAACGTTTAACCAGCAGGGATGTAAAATCCCATATAACTGGTTAACCAGTGGGGAGAGCTGCACCAGCCCTCACCGGTTAATGGTTATCTGGAACCGGTGAGCATCATCCTAACCTTTCACATCCCTACTAACCAGTTAACTCATTAAAATGGGATTTTATGTCCCTAGTTCACACCCGAAAGTTAACAAAACAAATATCAACAAAGTGTTCATGCTTGCGCCCTCAGTCGACAGATCATGTCCACACTAGGGAGCAATGCACTATGGGTATGTATCCCACAGTGCCATGTTGTGGGAAGGTAGGGCAGATCTCTGCTTGGGATTTCCCCCTCTTCAGCAGAGGCACCGTGAGTACCTCTGAGCTCTCTGTGCTGAGGAATGTCAAAGCAGCACAGCAGCCTGTTGCCTCTCCTTGCACCTCCCCACAGCAGCAGCAGTCTGCCTGCCCCTGTGTTTCTAGAGCAGGGAAGAATAGGAGCATTCCAATGATTTGCTCTTTGTTTGTTCCCCAAATGGAGCAGCTCACTCAGCAGTAAGACACTTCCTGGAGCTTTGAAAGAGGAGTGGCACATGTCTGAAGGGAAGTCGAGATGAAAGCTGAGCAGAGCCATCAGGGCAGGTACTGTGGGATACTGGGAGAAGCCAGTTCTGTCCAAACAAACAGCAGGGTCTACACTGGCTCTCTATCAACAATAAGGGAGGGGAAAAGCAAAAAGTCTCTCACAGGATGGAAGTTTTTAGTCAGAGGAAACCGGGCTTTTTCCCTGACAAAAGTTCCATTGCAATGCATATGCTCTCACTGTTTTGTAGACAAAAGGCAGATTTTGATTACAAAACTTTATAGCATAGACAAAGCCTTTTTAGATTGTATAACACAGCCACCATGTATTACTGGTAACACTTCCTACAACAAGACAAGCAGGGACTTGTAGGGACTTAATGCAAGTAGAATCAGTGAAGATCTGTTTTTCTGTGTCCTAATCCAAAGGATTCTATTTACTGAAGAAATTAATCATATTTATTACTTGGTGATAGGTTTCTCATCTAGGTTTTATTTTTAATTGTCCCTGTTGTCTCTTAAAGACCCTGATTAACACTCAACCTGTAAAATAACTTTTGACACCCAATTTAATATATAAAACGTATGAAGTCAGTGGACCTTCTGCATACATAAGGGGTTCACTCGCAGTAACATCACGATCTTATAGTTACTATAGGTTGCGTCTCTGCTCCAGCAACATGGTCCGGGAGCCCAGCAGCCGGGTCAGGGCCAGAAATAACCTCCCCTGGTCAGGCAAAATCCCACATCTAGGACCGGTCAGGTCCCAAGGGTGCTGGACCAGTGAGGTCCAAGCTGTATTCATATTTATAGTAGCTTCTAAAAGCCCCAACTGAGATCACAATCCCCTTGTGCCAGCTGCTGTAGTGACAAACAAGAACAAACAAACAAAAACACAAACAGAAACACAAAGGAAATGACTAGTTCCCTGCCAGCACACAAGTGGCCACGTTAGGAATAGAACCCCGATATCTCAATTCCCTGCCCACTAGACAGAATTTCTCTACAACCATTCCATGAACTGATGTCAGTCCTTGAGATTTCCTTGACAAAGTTTAGGAAGGCAGCAATCCAGTCCTTGGTATCAAAAAGTTTGAAAAATACTGCACTAGACCACACACTGTAATTGCAAGTATGGAGGGTAATCTAATTTCCCCCATACTCACCCACCCAGGTGAAGATCAGGCCTGAGCAGCTCCCATCCGCAGGATGATGCTGTGGGCACAGCCTAGCCAGAGCATCCCGTAGCATGGTGCCGCAGGCTGGTTAACCAGTTAAACATATAGTTTAACCAGTTACATTTTCAACAGGATTTTACATCCCTATTTTGTATAGCATCTTTCATGCAAATGTTTCTGTAATCACTGAGATTTCCAAAAAACCTAGCATGCATGTTAAGGTGATGCTATTAATTGTCTGTAGGTCACATATCTTATCTGTTATAACTTTGTAAATGATGTAACCTGTGCTGTGCCACATGCATTCTAAAGTCATTTGACGGACACTGAAAAACTGAGACTGAGAACCACGTGTGTCCAAGCAATCATATATGTACAATGTCACAGGAATCCCCTTATACTGAAGTCATGTTTTCCACAGGAGAACTTGCCTGTAAGCCAGTACAGGGTTACTAGAACAAAAGTTTACATAATACACTGAAGGAATACGGTACTTTTTGTTCCACTTATAGAACAGTGTTTTAGTACCAGCTTTCTCTGTGACCAGGTTCTGCTGTATAATCGTCCTGCCACTCTTAACTCCACATATACATACTTTTTTTTTTTTTATTAAAAACATGGTCACTCATGATGTCTAGACTAGCTTTACTTGATAAATATTCCCCCAATTCAACTTCCACCTGTGCAACTTCAGTAGTGCAGCAATATTGCAGGGTAGTCACTTGACATATAACCCACCCACTGTCTAACTTTGCTCCATCAGCTCTGGACTAGAGAGGCTGAAATGCCAGCTGAACCATCTCTGCATTAGCATTTTTATAATTGCTACCCCCCAGGGAGCCACTTAAATGCTATTTATATACAAATGAACCTGACTTACTAGAGGTAGCATGTCAGAGAAACAACGTGGGTGTCATGGACCATTCTGAACCCTGATCAACAGAGTCCTCAAGAGATAAGTAGTCCTAGCCTGCCACCCAATGAGTATGAGGCTGCACAGGCAGTAAGTCAACAGTAGAATACTAACAAATAATACACAGATAAAATTAACCTAAAATCAAAGCAGTATGGGTACACTTCACTCACAGATATAAAAAAGACCTTAAGTCTGTCTACATGTCATTATTTAATATCATGCCCCCTATTTCCCATCTATCTGCCACCATTCCCTTTCAGAAAAAGATCTGGACTGTTTCTTTCGTTAAACTCAATCTGATGTAGTTAGAAGCTGCTTCATTAACCCAAGTCACAATTGACCAGACATTTCCTATACAGTTCATTTCAATTTATGTTTCAAGTAAGCCCAACAAAAATGTTTTCAAATCTTTTAAAAAACTCAGCTCCTAATTGGCTGTTTCTGTTGATCATTTTTGGAAGACAGAGACAACTCCAGGAAGCACAAAAAAGCACATTTTAATAATCTGACATGCACCTTTTACAATAAGATAGTTACGAAACTGCATGCTTTTTAGTCTTTTTAAAAATCCTTATTAATCCTTTCGTAAAAAGCTTCCTTGTTTTTAAGTTGCACTTAGCAGAATGGGTAGTTCCTAAACTACAGACGGGCTTTTGCCAGCTTTCATTTCTGGGAAGGCGTGCCAGCATCCAACGTCAAAATTACGGCGCATCCAATGACGTCGAGATCTGCGCGCCCCCGCCTTAATTTTCCCTCCTAATCAGGCAGTAACATGCAGTTCCTCCGAAGGCTGTCAAAAGTACCAGGTCATGCCTTAGGTAACTGTTAGGCACACGACAGCATAAAGAGAGGGAAAAAAATCAGAATAAATGTGCTTTAGAGAAAAAGGTATACACAGAAACACTTGTCAATCTCTTTATACGATGGAACAGGTATAGCAAACGTCAGCTAACAGCAAACCACCATTCAGGGTCAAACCACCGTAAGAGCTCCCTAAAACGGACCACTGGAAAATGAATCTAACCATATAAATATTATAAAAGTGTTCAGAACCACATACTAAAGTCTGGAATGGTGCTACTGCCACTGTCCTGCCAAGGGGCTCTACTTTGACAAAGCCAGGCTGAGTTTATCATCACCGCAAAACATGAGTCAAAACACACGTCAAACAGCAGCACAGTGCCATCCGCCACTGTCTAACCGCTGCAGCCCAGACATGAAGGTGCTCGCTATGGGAACCAGGAGGGTGCCTGCCAGAAGGGAGATTGTGTTTGACATGAATGGGATGTACGCGCCCCCAACACGCCTACAGACACAAGCAGAAAGAGAGCACAACTTGAACTGTGTCCTACCAACAGCAGCTGTGTGCTCCCGCCAGGGCCCTCTGCAAGGTGCCTCCACAGCCAGAGACGGGTACCCGACATTCCACTGCCTCCCACCCTCATCCCCGGCCTGGACACATCGCCCCCCCCCAGCAGGACCTGACCCCAGGCGGGCAAGCCCCGTCCTGCGCCTAGTCCCACCCCCGCCCTGTGCCTGCTGTGCCTGCTGTGCCCACCCCCCCGTCCTCTGCCCGCTGCCCCCAGGCCATGACCCCCTGCCCCAGTTGGCCCCCTCTGCCCCCAAGCCAGCAGCGCCCAGGCCTCAGGGCCTCCCCGCCCCTCCAGGCCGCTCCCCAGGCTCACCCTAGCGCTGCTCCATGGGCCCCAGCGCGCCCTGCAGCCGGAGGGGGCCCTAGGCCCCCAGTTGGCGCCCCTCCTCCATCTTAGTGGGGGGCCAGGCCTCCACTTCCCCTCCAGGCCAACATGGCGGCGCGGCCACTTCCGCCTCGAACTGCGTGGGGACGAGTCATTCCGACGGGACTGAGACCATAGAGCGCGCCGGAAGCCGGGCCTAGGCAGGAGACCGCCGGGAAGCCCGGCCAGACAGGTGTATAGCATAGAGAGGGTAGGGGGAGAGAAAGAGAGAGCGCGCGAGTGTCCCACCGCCGCCAGGCGGGTGGAGGACCGCGAGGGAACACGGGCAGAGGCAGCTGGAGGAAGGAAAACAGCGACCCAAACTGGGCGTAGCTCGAACAGCTCTCCTCGCCCAGCAACTGGGGCAGAGCTGTGCCCCCACAGCCAGAGCAAAGCAATGCACCCTCAGTGTGCCACAGTGCAAAGCAATGCACCCCCAGTGTGCACAGGGATGTGGGACCCAAGTACAAAGCAATGCACCCCTAATGTGCCACAGAGCAAAGCAGTGTACCCCCGGTGTGCCACAGAGCAAAACAATGCACCCCCAGTGTGCACAAGAATGTGTACCCTCACAGCCACAGTGCAAAGCAATGCACCCCACAGTGTGCACAGGGATGTGTGACCACAGTGCAAAGCAATGCACCCCCAGTGTGCACAGGGATGTGGGACCCAAGTACAAAGCAATGCACCCCTAGTGTGCCACAGAGCAAAGCAGTGTACCCCCAGTGTGCACAGGGATGTGTACCCTCACAGCCACAGTGCAAAGCAATGCACCCTTAGTGTGCACAGGGATGTGGGACCCCAGTGCAAAGTAATGCACCCCCAATGTGCCACAGAGCAAAGTAATGCACCCCCAGTGTGCACATGAATGTGTACCCTCACAGCCACAGTGCAAAGCAATGCACCCCCAGTGTGCACAGGGATGTGAGACCCCAGTGCAAAGTAATGCACCCCTAGTGTGCCACAGTGCAAAGCAATGCACCCCCAGTGTGCGCAGGGATGTGTGCTCCGCCACAACCATGGTGCAAAGCAATACAGCCCACCGCCCCACAAGCAAAGGGCGCATGCTATAAAAAGTTGCAAAGAATTATTCTTTGATTTAGTGAAGACCTTTCTACAAGAGCGCACTCCTACCTGCATAGGTTTTGGTAGGGGCAGTTTTGCCCCTCATCCTTTGTGTAGTTCTTGAAGCGCACCTTTTGTTCTCTTTGCATGGTGCACGAGTAGCCATTGCCCCTCGCTCTTGCAATTAGAAGAGCTACACCCCCACTGAACTCCGCCTTCCGCATAGATCTTGTAATGGGCCTAGTAGTCAATCTTACCAAGGAGCCCGGATAGCTCAGTCGGTAGAGCATCAGACTTTTAATCTGAGGGTCCAGGGTTCAAGTCCCTGTTCGGGCGAATCCTTCTTTTCTTTTTATTTTTCAATCTTTTTGCTGCTCCACCTTTTCCTGTTGTGTGTCTCCTGCAGCAATCGCTGCAAAGCCCCCCATGGTGCTAAATTCCCACTTTGGCCAGAGCTTGTGTAGTGATTTGCCACAGGCGTTTGCTCTTTGGGAAGAAGACTTTTCTCTTTTTAAAACTGGATTTGTAGCTTTTACTCCTGCTTCACCTGGTTTAATTTATTTGGAGGGGGAAAAAAAGGTACACGCCCGAACAGGGACTTGAACCCTGGACCCTCAGATTAAAAGTCTGATGCTCTACCGACTGAGCTATCCGGGCGCTCTGATAGCAAAGGTTTTGTCTGCTGCCTACATGGTTCTGTGCAGACACTGTGCTGAATTTTTTAAATTTTTCTATGTGATTTTTACTACTAGTTCTTCCACAAATTCTATTTCCACACTTAAGCTGGCCAGCAAGAGGGCTGGTGAGATTGTTCAGTGAAAAGCAGCTGAGACCCTAAACCTACCTTGCCTCATGTAGGGGAAAGATCTCCCCCCTCCTTCCACCTGAAACACAGTAAGTGCTAGAAATGCTTTGGGGATGGCTTTAAAGTTTGCACACTGTGGTGACTATGAACATTGGTACTTCCTATGGCAATTCCAGCTTCGGCATTTTCATGCACATTGGAAATAAGTGGGACTGTGCCATAGACACATGAATTGATACGGTAGGTCCATCCTTCTAGCTCACTGCCCCATCCCCAACAATGTTCAGAACCCCCCTGGCCTAGAAGAAGGGGTAAAAAGGCAGGGAAAAGTTGTGTTGTGACCCAACAGCTAGCGAAAGGGGAGGAGGAGTTTACTTGGAGCACCTTTGCCTTTATGGAAAAAAAATAATTAAAATTATATTTGCTATTTATAGGGCTGAAATGCCGGGACAAAAACGAGAATGAAAACAAAAAAAATTGCTAAGTGCAAACTTGTAAAAGCCAACAAAAAAGGGGTGCGGGAAAAATTTTTTGCTTGGGGAGGCAAAAAGCCTAGAGCAGGCCCTGCTGGGTGGCAGTCCCTCGAATACCAGCAATGAGTTCTATTTAAGTAGAAGGGGTGGGGCCTGGAGGAGTGGGGCATGGCTAGGGAGGAGAAGTTTATTTTTCCCATGATTAAATTAAGAAGCATCAGTAAATGCATGGGGAGTTAGCCAGCTGGAATGTCACTGGAACAGGAGTCTGGGTTCCTGAGAGGTGCAAGGGAATGCAGTGAGCTGTTTTTCTCTGGGATCCAGTCATGTGAGTTATGGACATTTAGGGCACGTCTACACAGCAGGGCTAAACTCGAAATAAGCTACGCAACTTAAGCTATGCTACTTGCGCAGCTTACATCAAAATAGCTTCTTTTGACTTTTGGCGCTGTCCACACAGCAGTTGTTTTGAGACCGAACACTCTTCCCCCGACTTCCCTTACTCCTCGTACAATGCGGGTTACAGGAGTCAGAGTAAGCAGTCCTCCAGCTCGACAGCATGTCGAAATAACTGCTTGTGTGTAGACGTGGACTATGTTATTTTGGAATAACGTCAGTTATTCTGAAATAATGTTGCTGTGTAGACATAGCCTAAGTATTATTGAGGTTATACTGATGCCTTATATTTATACCGCACCTTTCACCCACAACGCTTCCAGGATCAGGAATCCAGGGCTAAGGTGGGTGATGATCTGTGTGTCAGGAAATTAACAAAAGAGGGGGTGTTATGTGAATAACAGGAATATTAGCTAGAATAATCCCCCTTTGTTTTGGGCTGGCCTCCTCTAGACCAAAGAGAACTATCAAAGGTAGCTTGGCAGGGAGCAAAGGAAAAATTAGACTGAATTTGCAGAGGATGGTCTGTTTCCCAGCGGCATCATTTCCCCATGGGTAGGAGCAGAAGCCCACCTCACTTGGAGTATAGGATTTCAAACTAATCTGGACCAAGTGCTAGGAAATAAACTGCAGGAAACCATCCCATCCTGGGAAAGGATGGGTAGTTAGTGGATCTGGTGTCTCCAGCATCTCTGGCCTCAGCAGCAAGAATACTGACCCAGGGATCTTTATCAGTACCATGCCAGGGCGAAAGTCAGGCACAGAATATGTGCGACTTGTCCGATATTTGTATTTCTTTTCCCCAATGCAATTGTCATCTTTTTCCAGCAGGGGGCGGCATATTTCTTGAATTATTAGCTGCATGGATCTAAACACCTTTTATTTAAAAAGTCACTCTAGCATTGACTTGATGCGCAAACCTTAACATTGGGCACAAAGTCCTAGGTGTAAATTTATGACTTTCATAGTGGACATCTACAATTTGGCCTTCTCCCACATCTTTTAGAACTGCCTGTCAGTGGTCTTTTGAGAGGTGAAACTCCTCTGCTTGGCTGGTTAGTTGAAGAGAGATTCTTTCCTAGGAGAATTATTGGTAATCCCCAGAGAGGTGTAGGTGAAACAAGGTGTCTGACCAAATGCTTAAAAAGACAAAGGGGGCAGATTTCCAAGAGCGCTCAGCTCCCAATTAGGCACCTAAATTCAATGAACAGGTTTTCAAAATGGCTCAGCAGCTCCCGCTGAGAACAACAGTTCAAGGTACTGCTTGCTAATATGCCCAGCTAGGAGCTGAGGGCTTTGGAGAAGCTGGCCCTGCTTTTGGATGCTGAGTATTTCTGAAAATCCGAGCCAAGGTTCCAATGATTTTATAGTCTATAGGTGGGCGATAATTTTTGGCGGGGGACTACTCTGCGAATTTTGGGAAGCTGTCAGGGACCACCTAATAACTAGATCTGGTCAGAGTTTGGATTCTAAAAATGTTTTTGTTCTCCAAGCTTCAAGGGAAAAGACAGAACTTCCACCCTATCTCTAGGAGGCTCTTCTGTACATCAGTGAAACAAAGGACAAGTGAATGTTGACTATAGAGCAGTGAGGGGCAACCTAAGCTAGTGAGTGGCCCACATGAGTGGTCTCCTTCCTCTCAGTGGGCCACAAGATTGTCCTAACCAAGATGGTCTCCCGGGATAGGGCAGTTTTGCTCACTGTGCTTGCGTACCTAGAATGTGCGGGATGTGCCGATTGGACTGTAGCAGCATTGTGATTGGATTCAGAGAGAGCGCATGGTTCTCACAGGCAATAGGGTTGCCAGGTGTCCAGTTTGGAACCAGACAGTCCAGTATTTGAGCTCTCTGTTCAGGAAACAAATTGAGAAAATATAAATGTCCAGTATTTTCTAAATAAGATGTCATGTAGATTGTGATGTAATGTCAAGTGTGTCGAGTATTTTTGTTGAAACCATCTGGCAACCCTAACAGTCAATGTTGTGAGCAACCAGTGTGCACCTCACCTCATGTGTCCTGGCTTTACATGCATATCACTTTAGTAATACCAGTAGGAAAAAAAAACTACGCAGGAGGAAAATGGCATGAGCAATAGTAAACAAAATGTTTCATAGGCCACATGTGCAAGTGGGCTGCAGGTTGCCCACTGATAGAAGGCAGTGTCTTGCTCCTGAGAGACAGCAGCCTGCAACGTGTTATTTACGCTGCAAAACCATGCACCCCACTAAAAGCACAGATTTGTGTCACAAGGCAAGTTGTGACATGGTTACTGCCTGTGCATGGTTACTGCTGAAATACAGAACATGCAGCAAGTGCTTACTCATGTCACATAATGCCCTATTGGGAGTTGTTCAAGATGTAAACAATATAAGGACCTGTACAGAAGTCTATAGAAAGTACACTCCATAAGGTTGCAAAAACCTCACTATTTTGTCAAGATGTGACGGGGCGAGCTTGTCCCCTCTCCCAGGCAAGAAGGCGCCGGCAGCCCCAGTGATAGGGGGTGACGCCGCACGGTGCCCTCCGGTGCTGTGGCACATGCTCTGGCGGCCTCTCAGCCGCTTCAAAAACCAGGCCGGCACAGCTGAACAGGGGGGCAGAGCACGCCAATGCGGCCACAGCAGACAGAGTGGGAGGTGCGGAGGACGCGGAGAGCCTGGACGAGGAGCAACCCGGGCAGAGAGACATGGGGCTAGCTCCAAGTCGTGCAGACCCAGGGGAGCGGACCCAGGAGACGCAGAGGGGCAACCCCTCAGGAAGGAGTCCAAGGCCAGCGGCGGGGCAGTGAGATCCCATGGGGAGCTCCATTACCTGACCTCCATTACCCCAGTGAATACGACTACAGCCTCGGTGGGTAAGCGCCGTGACGGGGCAGGCAAGAAGCAGATGCCGAAGGAGCCTTTAGACTGCGTAGGAAGTAGCCCTGGATGGGGAGTCACAATGGACAACCCCCTGAGAGGGGTGGTGAATTGTTGACCTACACCTCGCCATTCAGGTAGTGCCAAGGTGTCCTACACTTTGGGGTCCTGGGCTGGAGCTCGGTTGAAGGGGAGGGCCCGAGTTCCCCTACCCTGCAAGAAACTGAACTGCACTGTTTCTCGGGCCTAGCCCCGGCTCGAGGGAGTGACTCAGAGGGCCACAGCTCAACCAACCTGAAGGCAAGCCACTGCAATGGAGGGACTTTGCCCCAAGCGGGCGCCGAAGCCAGACCCGGGACGCGCCAGTGGGCATAGGTTGCAGAAGGCCCCAGGGTTAGCGGGCGACTGTGCCAAGGGCCTTGCCCTCATGCACAGGTGCATCTGCACCTGGGTAGATGGGGGCCGAGATTATACCCAGGACGGGGGCTCTGGTCTCTCGTGCAAGGGAGACCCCGTCCCACACACCCGCGGGGAGGGGGCTGACAGGTGGCACATGAGTTTTGCCATATTTTATGTTTTTCTTATAGCCCTAGCTCCTGGATTTATGCAGCTATGTGCAAATCTCAGGATCTTTTTTTTTTTTTTTTTAAGGTTCACGGATATGATGACTCAAGTGTACCTTGAAGGCCCAGAAAAAAAGAAAGCAAATAAAATGAACTAATTTAAAAAAATAATTATTTGTAAGCTAATCTCAGGACTTTTTGAAACCAGGTCCATAATGTTTTACCTCTGGGGTTGGTAATATGGACCCTATGAAATGGGGATTAGGACATTAGATCTTTGGAGAAAGCACTGTGCTTTTCGTTCTGTGTTTGTACAGTGTCAAATGCAATGCAGTCCTGATCCAAAAATCTGGGGTCTTTACATACTATTGCAGCACAAATGAATAATAATTACTCATTAAATAAGGGAATTAATAAATTGCAACCGTTAAAGGGAAAGCTCCCAATGAACTGCCTAATTATACTACACTCTCTCTTTTCCAGCTACTTCTCCCAGCCCTCCTACTGTTGTCAACTCATTCCTTTGATCTTGATATAACTTAAGCCCTGCAACCAGAACCTCACAAATAGAACCTAGAGTTTATCTGGAGTCCAATTGAAGCGTTTCCCAACACAAACCCAATGGGCTCTGCATAGGCAGATTTGTGCACTTAGACAAAGTCCCATTGACTCCAATCTATAGGTATTAGCAGAGCCGGCTCAAGCCATTCCTGTGCCCCGGGCAGCGGGTGCGCAACGCATGTGCGGCCCCACCCCTCAGCGCGCTGTATACCTTACAGCTGCAATCGAGCGTGCAGTGCCCGATTGCAGCTCTAAGGGGCGCCACGTGGCTCCCAGTCCCGGGTGCACGGTGCCCCTTACAGCTGCCATCAGGTGCCCCTCATAGGTTGGTGCCCCGGGCAGCTTCCCGGCTGGCCCCCCACCTTAATCTGGCCCTGGGTATTAGTGGTATGTCTGTGTGGCACTCACTGCAGGGTCTTTGGAGGCCTATCCAGTAAAGTGCCCTGCTATGCATGGCTCTAGGGAAGCGGTCAAGAACAGTAAGAGGATGGGTGATAACAGGTGTTTCCCAGAGGAGCAAAGGGTGTTTAGAAAGGACCCATTTACCGTCTCTGGAGAGCCAGATTTATTTTTCACTTCTGCAGTTTAGATGCAACTAACCCTGATATTGGGGCTGAGTGGGTGTCTTCAGGGCAGGATACAAAGTTGCAGAGGAATATGGGTACTGGTAGGGCTCTGCTTCTGCAGGGCTGACTCTATCTACCACCCCATCACCGTGGAAAAGGGCGTAGGAAAAAGAGGAAGGGGGGGGGGAGGCTGGCCTCGGGAACTGATTTGCTTGTGGTCGCTTCAGAGAGTAACCAATCTGCTTGTGGCTGGCTCTTTAGCAGCCAGCTGCCCGCGGTGCAATGCCTGAAGTCTCCGGGAGATGGCATGTCCCTTTTCTTCTCTTCTCTATTGTCTCCCCCTGGCTGCATCGCCCTCTCGCTCGCGCTGCCTAGTTCGCTTTGCTCTGCGGGCATTGTGCAGTCTGGTGGCTTCACCCCTCCTGCCAGCCACCCTCCGAGGGACGCTTTTCTTGAATTTCTTCCCCTGGTTTTCTCTGCCTCGCCGAGACACGAGCGTTTATCCTGGGCAAGATCGCCCTGAGGGTGTTGGAAGAGCTGTCCTGAACATTCAGCACAGGAGGAAAGGGGTGTGTGTCAGATGGAGGAAGAGTTAAGTGGCAGGCGCACACCCCATTAAATACGCCGGCAAGCTTTTCACAGCCCCGGAAATCGCAGTGCAAACAGCAGGTAAGAAACCGAGCCGCTGCCGGGAGCGGACCTGGGGGCTGTGAAATTGACTAGGAGCGGCTTGATCTTGACTAGGCAGCGCCTGAGAGGAGCGAGCGGAAGGAATTTCCCCTTTCACAAATCGAAACATCGAAGGTGCAACAATGCAGGGAGGAGGGGACGGTCCCAGCCCTGGATACAATGTTGCCGCAGCAGTCGGTAGCAGGTTGTTGGGGGAGGGTGCTGTGTGGCCTGAGCCCAGCTGCAGGGGAATGCTTGGGGTGGGGGTGGAGAGCAAATCCCCGGGTTGTTTTAACCTCCCTTCCTAGCTGCAGAGCGCTCGGAGATCATTATTTCAAATAAGCGAAAGCGGCTTGTATTTTAATCCCCCCCTCCCCCCAGCTTTGAAGCAGTGGGGAGCCGAGTCTCTGTGGATTTAACATCCTGTGAGTCAAGGGCCAGAATCTCCTTTGAGACATTTGTTTTGCATTCCGCCCTTTTTACCAGGCCTTTGGAGCTCCCTGCAGCAAGAAGGGCCGCAAACAAATAAATAAATACATTGCACAAAGCAGAGCGGATCCTACCCCTCGAACACAAGCCCCAGCATTTCCCCCTCTCCTGTGACTTTCCTAGTTGGCAGGGTTGGGAACATTTTGTGTGTGTTTGTTCCCCCCTTGTTAAGCTCTTTCTTCTTCCTATTGCCAGCGAATAAAACAAGCCTCCAAGGAATGGCAAAACGCCTCGTGGCCTTAAGAGTTTTTAGCATTTGGGGATCCGTTCCTGGGTGTGATTACTTTTTTAAAGGTGATCGGTCCTCAATAAAACTTGTACAGTCCGACTCCTTGTTGGAGTTTCCCATTGGTTAATTACACTGGTTTTTTGTTTGTTTGTTCATTTTCATTCTAGTCCCCTGTTGCATGAAGAGAATGATTGTATATTACATTTAAAGGAGACATAAGGAGATTATTTATGCATTGTGTGTGTAGAAAGACTGGTTTATCTGTAATTCATGTGGATCCTATCATAAGCCTGGTTGAAAAAATAGCAACATCCCTAGTTAAAGAAGCACTACTGCGTTTTGCCTCATAAAACTTATCATACCTGACCTACTAAGAGAAAGTTTTGGTGCTAAATTGAATCAAATACAGTGTTATTGTGATTCATTTCCTGTGTACAATCCAAAAAGATCAAGCCCAGCCTTGTTTTTCCATAACTGTAAACCCCCAAAATAATAGCAAAATAAAACAGGATTTTGGGGCAGTGCACCAAATAATCTAATGAAAACAAAGTGTTGGCACCTTGCCCATTAAAATGCACAGTCAGCCTGAAAAGGCCGCATTAGTTTTTAATAGCCAGACAATACAACAATCCACACCAAATTATAAAGTTGCCTGTCAGCAAAGTCTCAGTGGTAGAGTGATCCAGCTCTAGATTTTCTGTTCTCTTCCAGGATGCCAAACTCTCTCCGCTCCTCCAGATTTTTTCTGGGTTGGAGCAGTGTCTATATATGTTTCTTCCAACTCAAATGGGGCATATGTCAGATTTCTTGAGCTGCTCAATAGGGCTCCTTCTTTTTTAGCACGTATGTGTTATATACTGCATTGTAAAAAGGTTAGCACTTGTTGTGATATTGATAGTAGCACAATAAACTGTGATGTTTTCCTGCCTTTGGAAAGAAATACTGTAGGACCCTGCTCTTGCAAATTCTTATGCATCTGCTTGATGGGAAGTATTGGGATTTAATGGGGCTATTCATACTTGGAATGGTGAGCATGTGCTTAACTGTTGGCAGGGTCCCTGCTACAGCAAGCTGACATTGGAGTGAGCCGATAAATATGCCTTTGTTTTTTTAATGTCAACTGCAGTATAGCGATTAGAGGGAGAACCGAGGTTGGCAAGCCAAGCTTTCTAGCCCCACCAGTATAGCTGGACAGATGAGCACTTAGGAATGGATAATGTTAAACAAAAGGCAAAGCAGGATCAGGCAGAGCATCCGCCGTGTTGCTGGGTCCTGTGTTTTGGTGGACAACTGAAAAAACAGCATCGTTCGTCTGTGCATCCGTCTGTCTGTTCAAGAACTCCTAAACCATAACAGCTAGGGCCACCAAATTTGGTATGCAGCCTCCTCTTATTACAACTCAAAGCAGGGCGGGGAACCTTTTTTGGGTCGGGGGCCACTGACAAATAGAAAGATCAGTCAGGGGCTGCACACAAGTGAGAAACACAAGCAAAACCAACCCTCACTGACGTGGCCCCTGACTGAGAAATAGAAAGACACTCCCTTCATTCCCCTCGCACACCAGCGTCTCGGAGGGGAGAGGGGCCAGGCTAGTAGATTTTATGTGCTCTCTGGAGCACCATCGTGGGCTCCCCAGTACTGGGGGAGGGAAGCCTCAGGGACTGGATCCAGGCAAGCCCGGGGCCAAGCTTGAGGTTCTCCACCCCTGACTTAAAGCAAGGTCGGGGGTTGGTTGTGCCAGGAAAATGGGATGTGCCAGGACTGGGATTGCTTCTCAGAAAACCAACCAAACAAGAGACAGAATCACCAAGCAGGTGACAGGGGCTGGCTGGGGGTGCCTCCCAACCCCCCATCCAGGACTGCCCCCGCATTGAGCCTCAAACTCCTCAGGTCCCGTTAGTGAGGGGGTGGGGCTGAAGATCCCCACCCCCCAAATTTTACAGGAAAATTGCTGGCTGTTCCCCTTTGCCAGGGAGCGAGGGGAAAGTGCACAGTTTGCTGCATTCCTCACTCTGGCTGGGGAGCGCAGGGAGCAGGTGAAACTTGCTCTGCCCCAGCCGGGGGAAATGTACCCCTTCCCCAGCTGTGCCCACTGGAGCTGCAGCAGCCATGGCGAGGCGCTTCTTACCTGGCCCCAAGCTGCTGCGGTGAGAGAGGGCTGGGGTTGTCCTTTCTCCCCGGGGCAGCCTCCATCCTGATCCCCTCCTCCCCAGCCCACCCCAGAGCAAGCATTCAAAAGAAGCCTGGACATTTTATTTTCCAGAACATAAAAATTAATTGAGTTAAGAAACACTGGCTCAGTCTTCTAGTAAGTTTCCATATCAATAGACCAAGTTTGTGCATGTAATCTGCATACCTGTAATGCCTACGTTTGAGTGGATGTGGAACTCTGTAAAGTAGACTCCCACCTGTTCTCCCAGAGTGTTGGGCAGAGTTCTGGGGGCAGCAGGTAGGAGTGTGTCGGGGGAGGAGGCTGTAACAGTAGCTAGCCATGCAACCTCACCCTCCTTACCGGGAGTATGCTAATGCAATTTACACTTCAACAGCATCCCCTGGGGGGATAAGAGGGGTTCTGTAGGGCTCTAGCTGTAAGCTAAGACTCTCCCTGGCAGAAGCCCAGAGGTTGCAGGTTGTAGAGTCCTGCCCTTCTTTGGGATGAAGCCCTTAACTTACCTGTGCCAGAATCAGTGCAGCTGGCCAGGTGTGTGCATGCATAATATAGAGGCCATCTAGGCCTGCTCTCCACTCACTTACTTACACCAGTCTTGATCGGGGGCAACCAGTTTGAAACGGAGGGGAACATTCACACTGTCGTACACAGAATGGGCCTGAAAGACTTAAGGGATGGTCCCCCGGAGAGACCACAAGACCAGCTTTCCCCTCATTTGCCCTGGATGTCTATCGGCTTGTACCTGCATCAAAGCCAGAGAGTCACGGGTGTAAATGACAGGGGAGCTTTCCCTCTATTGCTTTCTACCAGCTCCCGCTGGCCTTCCCTTGGAGCAGCCTTGCTACTCCGTAACTACCTGTGTCCAGGCCTTGGCCAGCTTGGCCGGTCTGATTTGGGCTTGCGATGTGCAGATCGTACAGGGTCCTGTCCCCTGCAGCCACCACCAAACCCAAGAGAATCACGACTGATTTAACTGTTGAACGTTCTTTAGCGGTAGGAGTGAACGTGGCAGGGAGGGTGCCAGTGAGAAATACCCTTGGGGAGGGAGATCAGAGAACAGCCGAAGGGACCGTCTCTCTCTCTCTGTAACTGTGTTTAAACTTGGCTCCTGCAGATATTTCTCACACTCTTGCCGTGACTTGTTCTGTCTGGGTCGAGCTGTGCCACCCAGCCTTTCCCAGGCCCTTTTCCTGGCACAGTGCTGCTCACGGTGCCGCCCTTCCCCTGGGACTGGAAAGGGCCAATAGTATTTGCTTGCACTCAGAGAGAGGTGGGGAGGGCAGAGGGGGAAGAAATGAGTCCTGGCCAACTCCTACATCACTTTTAGTGCTGCCCAGGGGCACTTCCTCCCGGTGATAGTCAGGCAGCTCTGTGACATGACTCTATAGCTCAGGGTAAATCAGTTATTTCATTGGCAAAGGGCTTGTGTTACTGGGAGGCGGGTGAGATTTTACCCCTTGCTTGGAGGGATGACGGATGCTCCATGCGAAGTTGGTAAAGGCAGGGCAGGGAGAGGCAAGCCCTGCCCCTTTTGCTGAGGCTCCATCCCCATGAAAGCCAAGCCGCTTCCCCCATCCCATGGGGACAGGAGGGGAGGGGTGGGTGGGCACATGTCCCAGCTTCCCTGGCCCTGGAGCATGGGGAGGGCAGGTGCTGGGGGCAGCAACACTCTGCCCCAGAATGCCTCGTGCAGATGTTCTGGGGGCGGAATGTGGGCGGGGCCAAGCTGGCATGGTCTGTGTGGGGAGAAAACTCCACCCGCACAAGGTCTGCAGCCGTATATTTGCCTTCCAGGGGTGATGCAGGAGGCTCCACCACAGAGTGACTTCCACAGCAAACTCCCTCCC